GACCGACCGACCGACCGACCGACCTAACTACCTACCTACCTACCTACCTACCTACGTACCTACCTACCTACCTACCTACCTACCTGACTACCTGTCTACCTGTCTACCTACTGACCTATCTATCATGTTTGTTTAATCTCATATAATCTATTTATATCTATTTTAACCAAACCTAATCAAACCTAATCTGATCTAATTTATTAAATTATCTAATCTATCTCATCTATCCTATCTAATCTATCTAACCTAATCTAATCTACTCTAATCTCATCTCATCCCATCTCATCTAATCTAATCTATTAATCTAATCTTTCTATTAATCTATCTATCTATCTGTCTATCTATCTATCTGTCTATCTATCTATCTATCTATCTACCTACCTATCTATCTATCTGTCTTTCTATTTACCCATCTATCTTTCTATCTATCGATCTATCTCTCTCTCTCTCTCACTCTCACTCACTCACTCACTCACTCACTCTCTCTCTCTCTCTCTCTTTTCAATCTATCTATCTATCTCCACCCACCCATCCAAACGTTCTATCGATCTGCCGATCTATCTACCTATCTATCTACATACCTCATTATATCTACCTATCCATCTATCCATCTAACCATCTATCCATCTATCTATCTATCTATCTATCTTTCTATCTATCTATCTACCTATCTATCTATCTATCTACCTATCTATCTATCTATCTATCTATCTATCTTCTATCTATCTATCTATCTATCTATCGAATCTATCGAATCTATCGAATCTATCTACCTATCTATCTATCTATCTACCTATCTATCTATCTATCTGTCTATCTATCTATCTATCTATCTATCTATCGAATCTATCGAATCTATCGAATCTATCTACCTATCTATCGATCGATCCATCTATCTATCTATCTATCTATCTATCTATCTATCTATCTATCGAATCTATCGAATCTATCGAATCTATCGAATCTATCGAATCTATCGAATCTATCTACCTATCTATCGATCTATCTACCTATCTATCTATCTATCTACCTATCTATCTATCTATCTACCTATCTATCTATCGTTTTTTTTCTACATATCTTTCGTTTTTTCTCCCTATCTATCTATCATTCTATCATTCTATCTATTTATCTATCTATCTATCTATCGATCGAATCTATCGAATCTATCGAATCTATCGAATCTATCGAATCTATCTACCTATCGATCGATCGATCTATCTATCTATCTATCTAGCTATCTATCTATCTATCTATCTATCTAATCTATCGAATCTATCGAATCTATCTACCTATCTATCGATCTATCGATCTATCCATCTATCTATCTATCTGTCTATCCATCTATCTATCTTTCTTTCTTTCTATCTATCTATCTATCTTTGTTTTTCTATCTATCTATCTGTCTATCTATCTATCTATCTTTCTTTCTGTTATCTATCTATCTTTCTGTCTATCTATCTTTCTGTCTATCTATCTAACTAACCCTGTTTCAGATTTGATTACCTTGCCATTCGCCTGGGATGATGGTCCCTGGCTCCGGCTTGTTGCGTCTGCCGCGGGCAGCGTCATCAGGCTGCCATTCTGGGCTGGAAAAACGTGGTGAAAACGCAACGCCATGCGCATCTCTTTAAGGTGACGGACCCGTGAAGACGTCATGTGAATGGGAACAATACTTGGGTGATGATAGTTCGTATCATGTTTTATAGATGTTTCTAGTATATGAACAAAAGATCATCCATAGATGTTCCCACTAAAACCTCATCTGGGTGTCCATAAATGGAGGTACTCGGTACCCCAATAGTTGGTTTATTTCATGGAAAATCCTACCTTTAAATGGATGATTTACGGGTAACCCCATTTTAGAAAACCTGCATATTTGTTTTTAAATTGGGAATATCATGGGCATAGAATGGGAAAATGATAATAACACAAAATTCTTAAATCCCTTGGTGGACTGGTTTATTTTGTTGGGACTGATGCTACAAAATTTATTGGCGCTTGTGATAGCCTATAGTAGGATTTCCTATCAACCAACTAGTATTTCATCATAAGGGGATACATGTGAAAATAATAAAATAATAGTGGGTGAACCACCAAGTAGGATTTCGCAAACAATTTATGTGAGCAGTGTTCAAAACAAATCCACTACAACTTTGCAAGTCCGATTTGGGTTATCACTCACCTTGCCTATCGTTTGAGGGCCCTATATTGTGGAAACGACGTTCTGTAAATGGACGGATGAAAGTGGATGGTGAGTCATTAAAATTGCCAGAAACAAGGGTTGTATCATGTTGCATCAGTTGAATCCAAATTTAATCCGAAAGATATCAATGGAGTAGATGTTTGAGAGGAAGTGCCTTGTCAGCATTGCCAAACTAAGCCACGTGATGAACTACAAGGTGCTACCGTGCTACCCCCTAGTTATGTTTGTTGGCTTCTAATCACCAACTAGTTCGATATATCACCAACAAAAACCATAGTGAAATGGGAGATATTTTTACCACCTTGACGGATCCGAGATGCTTTCCGTACCATTTTGGTTGGTTTTGTGAAAGGAACATCTGTAAGAAACGGTGGAAATTTTCGAGTTTTTACATGTTGATGATGTATGATGATTCGTTTCCTGAAAAGCTATAGAAACATGTTGCTTTTGTACGTTTTTATTTGAAGTTGTACAAAACCTTGGAAGGTACAGTTCCTTAGTACTTTATCCCTTCTTGAGTACCAAACAAAAATCACCTGTGAATGACTGAGATTTGTCAACATTAATCAACTGCTAGGATGATCATCGAATCTTTTTGTGACAAAAACCGTGTTTCCTTGGTTATACTGTGCACAAAGGAATGAATATCATATGCATAGATAAATCAATAATAAAAAAAAAAGTAAATACATCAATAAATAAAAAGCATATATGTATATATATATACACTGTGTTTAGTTTTGTTGATTTGATTTTTCTTCAGTAACACCACATTCTGTCCATGATGGTTAGTAGAGGGAACCGCGCCGAAATCACCGTATGGGAGGTTTGTGAAATATGATCATTCAGCCAAATATTTTTCCCGCTTGTCCAACAAACCATGTGACCAATACAAGTATACTCCGGCGTTTATGTCGTTCTGAGGCTATAATTTGCAAGACATCTGTTAAAAAGTCGTATGTGTACCAGTTTTGCCAGATAAAGATATATTTATTCCAGCAGTTGAAAGTGTCTTATTTCCCTTTGGGTGGCAGTCTCATCTGTGTTCTCCTTGACCCCAGGACGTCTTCAACAACACCTTGGATGAGCTGTCAGACCATGCTGTGCTGAAGGTCGGGCGATGTCTATATGGCCGTGGGTTTTCTCCCCTGGTGCCCTTGTCAACTGTGTGAGCATCCAAATAGTTGGGATTCGTGCATGTTCAACCTCCAGTACATATACCGGCCATCCCCATGTATGTTGTGACTGGAATCAAGTGTTTCCCCGGGCCGTGTGTCCGGTCACCCTGATACCCCAGTTTTCGCATCAAGAATACCTCCGGATACATTGGTTTGTTGGAAAATAGGGAACGCCTAAAGTCCACTGGTTAATCATCCTCTTCTCATTACTGTAAAGTTGCGAGTTGGGGTTATACACCGCTTCTTTAGACCCATTCACATTAGGAACTCTATGCATATTGTTCAAATAGCTGATATCACCGAAAAAGATCCCTATGTAAGTTCTATCACCGAAACACCATTGGGATATTATAACAAGAATACTATTCTTTGCAATCTTTGCATGCCTTCTATCACCAATCGCACAAGATCTTGCATAATCGACTCGGAAATTTTCTAGTTTGCTGGGTAGCCAATTTTTGCCACTAGAGACGGATTATAGGAATAATTACAAGTAACTGACTTTTACAATAAATGGGTTTTGATCAACAAGAATGGGAAGCCGACAAAGCCTTGGGAGTCATCAACGAATCACAATAGCTGAAGAGCGCAGAATCAGAGGTATGATTCTGAATAGTCTACTGTTGGCAACCTAGCCAAGCCCCTTAAAACCCATGTTTCGCTGTGATGTTTCTATGGTGTTTGTTGATCTTACAGAACATTTTTATGTTTATGTATTAACATACTACCTTTTGGCATATATAGTTGTATTGATAATACGGTTCCATGCTCGTTTCGGGGAACTTCGAAAATGAAGTTTTTTGAACGTTACATCCTTTTAAGATGAGGCAGTGCTATTTTTTCTCTACAAAGGTGCTGTGACATTTCAAAGTAGTGGTTTTCTGGGCAAAGTGTTTGGATGTGCCTGGTATTCCATGGAGAAATTGCTGGATGGATCTAAGGGCACACCTTCTTTAGAGAATAGGCTCTCCGTTTCAAAATGTAGGGGGATTGTCAAAGAGCTTAGTATTCCAAGGAGCTGCTGGATAACCAAGAAGGCACTATTGTTATTGTTTTGCTAAAGGAAACTGCTGTCCTATGGGCAAGACTTCTTTAGAGAAGAGGTGTTCCATTTCAAAGTGGTGGTTTTCAGGACAAAGAGCCTGGTATTCTTGGATGGCTCTAGGGGCAAAGCTTCTCTAGAGGAGAGGCTCCTCCATTTCAAAGTGTTGGCTTTCTGGGCAAAGTGCCTGGGTGCGTCTGTTATTCCATGGAGAAATTCATGGATGTATCCAGGGGCACACCTTTAGAGAATAGATTCTCCAGTGCAAAATGTAGGGGCTTGTCAGCTTAATGTTCCATGGAGCCTCGAAGATCCAGCACTTTCCCCATGGAAGGCCAAACTCTTTGACCATTTGACCAGAAAACCAAACCTTTGAAATAGAGTTTTGTGAAAACAAGTATCTAAATGAGTTCCCCGGAAAGAGCGTGTAAGCGACAATACACATACATAATAGCAATAGTAACAATGGTAATAATCGCATATCAGAAACACAAACCATAATATTATTATAATTAGTATTATCATCATCATGATTACCATATTTGGGGGAATAACCATCCGTTAACAAGTTTTATATGTGGGTGATGATCATAAAACCCACCATTTTTTGTGGATTGGTTTAAGGGAACATCTTAACCGGAAACCATAGGTATATTCATTTCACTCCAGCTGAGAGGATCCCATGATCCGTGACACCGCAAGAGCTGCTCCGCGCTGGAATCGGAATCATTAACGCCCCTGCTGGTGAGGGACAAGATCAACCCCACAAAACTTGGCTCAGTAGGCAGATGGCCTGAGACACCGAGACCAAGCACAAAAGGAATGGCCAGCTAAGAGTAGCTTGCCAAGAAAAGAACTGGCACCAGACAGTATTCCAAGCCATAGGCACATCACGAGGGATCGTTAGTCGCAGTGCAGGGGAGAGTGTTTGGCCTCGACCTGTAAAACGCCACAAGGAAAGCTTTCAAGTCTCCCAGCACCACGGCAACAGCTCAAGTCGAGGAAGCGCGGCGAGGGCAAGGTCCGTAAGGTTGGTCATCTACCCCAGACATGGTATTGAACCCTGAAAGCAGGTCAGTACATCCACAGTCACAGGCATAATGATCACCTGGAGTAGCCTGGATTCCGGGAAAGTTCAGGGAGTACAGCCAGGTAGACAGATGACGCGCCAAGCACTAGCATCAGTAAGACTACCCAACAATTGAGGCCTCCACATCAGAATGTATCCCTTGACCACCAGTCCGTTGTCAACGTAGCTGCTAACCACACGTCTGACCGCTGCCGAATTAGAAGAGTTCAGGTCCCAGGGAAGGTACCATGGCAGCTGGCGCCGTGTCACCAGCTGGGAGGTGGGACCAACACTGTAAAATTTCGCTTAAACCAATCCATTGAATGTTTTATGATCATCACCCACATATATAGTTATAGAACTGCTTAATGGATGGTTATTCCCCCAAATATGGTAATGATGATGATGATAATTACTGGTTAGTGGTTTGGAACATGTTTCTTTCCATATGTTGGGAATAATGATCCCAACTGACTTTCATATTTTTCAGAGGGGCAGGTCAACCACCAACCAGATTATAATTATAATTAAGATAATATGGTTTGTGTTTCTGATATGTGATTATTATCATTGTTATTATTGTTATTATTGTTGTTATTGTTATTATTGGTATCATGTTTATGTGCATATATATATATATATTATCGGTTACACGCTCATTGCGGGGAACTCATAGTAATGATAATCATGATGATGATAATACTAATCAATCATAATACCCTCTGGTAAACTAACATAACTATGGAACATCACAATGTTTAATGGGAAAGCTCACTACTTCGATGGCCATTTCAATAGCAAACTGTTTGTTTAACAGAGGGTAATACCATTAAAACCACCATTTTGTTGGTTAAACCCCAATAAACCACCATTAAACCACCATTAAACCACCATTAAACCACCATTAAACCACCATTAAACCACCATTAAACCACCATTAATGATGATACCATTCCTGGTGATCCCCCCTCTGCAGGCCGTGTTCTCGGCCTGGCGTCACTTGACGCTGCAGCTCTGGTCCATCGCGGCGGAGCGAAGGCTCCAGAGGCGCGCGGCGCTGGGACCCGAGCGCTGACCGGGGATGGGAGGAACCCGGGGAAAGGTGGGACGAAAACCATGGGAAAAAAATAGGGAAACCATAGGAAAACCATAGGAACATGATGGAAAATGATGGAAGCATGGTGATATCATCAAGAAACATAGTGATGTTTATTGTATCCAAGTAGAAGTTGGAGATGTGTCTAGGAACACTTGACATGTTGAAGATGCAGGACTGGGATGATTCTCCAGCAGAAATTGTTCATATATATATATATATGGTATATATATATATAATATTAAATATTACTTTTCTCTGCATGATTGGTGAATCATCAGCTAGTCCGCATGATATGGGTCGACAAGAGTTTTGGCTAGCAAGTTCAGCAGAAATTGGATTGCACGCAGTAAATAACATCACAATGCAGAAATGGAATTTATCCAGACGTGCGACCTGTATGAGTTCTACTTTACCATGCGAACATATTCAAAGTTCGAAATGGGATTTTGACCAACAACAACCTTGGATGGCGGTCATCTGACTGAGGAACTATATAAGTTGGGTGTGAAGGTCACCGGTGTGTGGGCAACACGAAAATGGTGCCTGATCCTAGTGGTGCCTCAAATGCTGGACCGGATAACCCAAGACTATCCCAGCGATACGAGTTTCTTACCAGCAAAGAAGAACGCCTGCGAAGCGTGGGGTTCATTTTACCTAGATGGGGATACTCGTTGTGAAGGAGTTTGATTCTCAGTCGAACCGGTTGCGCAGCAACCGGAAACCCACAATCCTTACCGAAGCTGGTAACTAGCTGAGTGGCAAACCCAATATTCACACACACACATATATATATATATATAGCATGCCATGTTTTTGCATGTTTTTATCGATCCCCTTCAAAAAGGTTCTCTAGAAATTGCGAATGAGGTGGTACGGACCACATTAGAATGGTTTATGACATTACACCATTTAAAAATTGATTATATGATTTATATGCATATATAGATACCCTCTGACACTTAATAGTTTCTTCTATCGGCGTTCGCGTTAGTACACCATTGTTGGGTCGCCGTATGTCGCCGTCGCCGCTACGCCTACGACAGCTCAGCCCTGGAGGTTTGAGGAAGCCTTGCGGAGAATCTCTGCGCGGCTATTGGCAGGTGCCCGTTGGTGCGATTCGATCAAGTGAAGCATTGCTATCTAGAATCTAGAACCTGTGATTTTCACATTATGTATCGTTATATATATATATACTCATTACTACTGGTTTTACATGAAGCACAATTTGTAATATGTCTATACTGCATACTCGTACTCTTTATATCTCTGTTTGCATCCGCATATGTCTTCGTCTTTCCACTGGACCTCGTTGTACCGCTGACATCTGCCACCGCTTTCAGGAGATGGTCGCGCCTTGCTCCATCTCCTCTTCTCTCAGCGACTTGGCATGGCACCGGTTGTGTCAATTCTGTGTAGTTTAACCTTCGCAACGGTGAAGAAACCATGGTTGCCAGATGTCTTTGCGCGTTTTGTTTTTGTATTACATGGTTGTTTTTATATACATATGTATATATATAATATATTATATATATATATATATCAATATGTGCAAATATGTTTTTACATACATATATATATACATAATTCACAATCCATCTACATAGTCATGTGTGTCAAACAATGAAATATGATAAACATGCATATATGTTATTAAATCCTATATATAATATAATATTATATAATAGTTTATAATTTAATATTTTATAATATAATTTAATATTTTATAATATAATATAATATAATATGATATAACATATTATAATATAATATATAATATTAGAATATAATATAATATAATATAATACAATATATAATATAATATAATATACTATAATATAATATACTATAATATATAATATAATATAATATAATATTATATTATATTATATTATATTAAAAAATGTATTATATATATTATATAATATATAATATGTAACATATAATATATACTATAGTATACGATAATATAATATAAGATTAAATTTATTTATTTTAATTTAATAGAATATATACAGTATTTTAATTTAATATCATATTATAATATATTATAATATATTAAATATAATATGATAATAGTATAATATGATAATAATATAATAATATATATATATATATATGTGACTTAATCTACAACAACCCCGAAAAGGCTGCAAAAGTCGCCTACCCACCCTTTTAGGATTGGAATTGACAAAAGTGCACATCTTTTTTATTTTCGCTAGGCATACAAGCATTTCGTGGGTAAACACTTGCATGGGATGATGATCCCAAACGACTTGCCACTGGCAATCAAACATGGCTGATCTACGATCAACGGAGTTTTTTTTGGCTGGGAAAATCGAACTACAGAATGGTGGATTTTCAGAGGGTAAACCATCTTAAATCTCCATTCAACCCCATTATGAAAAGAACTAAATCACGATTAAATCACTGTTGAATCAGCATTAAATCCCATTGGATCCTTTTAAATCCCTCATCAATCCTTCTAAATCCCTGATAAATCCCAGTAAATCCCCAATCTCATGAACCCCCTATTGATTGTTAAATCACAAATCAAGTGGGCCGTGGCGACAAACCACGTCGTCATCGAGGTGGCGACACTGGACCGTGAGATCCAAGCCCTCAGAAGCCCAGGCGGGGATGGGATCAGAAGGACAAGGCTCACTATATCGGGAATAATTATATATATATATGTATTGTACTGTATGTGATTGTATATATATATATATACATATATATATGTTACACATGATATTTAACTGTAGACACATTACACGTTGTATGTATTGCATTTGCACATTCAACATACGTATATATATATATATATATGTTTGCATTTATGCAAATATAAATGATATGTGCATTTTAATATTACTGCACATAGATAGTGATTCGATAATAATAACAATAATGATACTGGTGTAAATGCTGTATAAATGCACATGCATTTAGAGTTTTATTTATATATTTGCCAAAATTGGTGACTTATTGTTGGTCTTATGGCCCAATCATATGGAAAAAACTGTGGTTGGATAACTTTTAGGTACAACTGGGATGTGCTTCGGATGAGTGAGATGATTGACCACCGAGCCACCAAAGTATCGAGTCTTGTCTACGTTAGTTCAGTTTTTGTTTACTTTAATTTATTCCATTGTATCATTGATCAAATCAATTTGTATTATACATATATATATATATATACACACACGTAATGTGGTAAACCCAATGTCATAAACCATCCCCAAATCATCACCTCTTTTAGGGGTACCAGTATAAATGGTAGGTTCCTTAGCAGGTTAATGCCATCAACCGCACAGCTGCGGCTAGGACAAGCTGGACCCCAAGAAAGGGCAGGAAAAAGATTGCTGCAAGAAATGCTCTTGTGCCCTCATGTGAGGTCCGTGAAAAAGTGCGGCGAATCAAACCTTGAATCAAACACTTCTAAAATATGTTATCCTTTTTTTGCATACGTGATATACAGATATGAGATGCATGTATAATTTGTTTAGGGTTTATTGAACAAATATTGAAGACAGGAAAATTCTTGTTTTGAAAGCCTTACAGGATATCTTTGTTGACTGCCAACGCTGCATCGAAACTACCAGCCCGTGATTGGATATTGCCTTCCCCCTTTCTCACCCCCCGGTGAAGCTTCAAATCGGACCTCATGTGATCAGCAGCAGACGAGATTCTGAAGCCTCCGAGAATTTGATTGCAATGGCCACAAGCTGTCATATTGAGCGCACCAAGCATGACGCGTTGAGCCCACCATGTTCAAAGATCAGATGAACAATCACAAGATACATCGATCACGAAAGCATTTGACAATGTGGAAGTCGTTTTCTCCTGTTGTGAAGACAGGTGTGTGCGTTTGAATTCCCTGGGTCCCAACAAAGCACAGTCACTTCGGATTCACGTGCCAAGCACATCGAATCGAAGGTCGAAGACCGAACGATGTTGGCTGATTTGGGAAGAGGGTGTCACTGTGTTTCGAAAATATGTGTGTGGCTTCCTGCTATTGGTAGCTTGCCTTCATTCATGGCTCATGTTGATTTCCATGTTGATTTAAAACTGTTGATTTCAAATATGTTCTAATTCTATACCTTGATTCACCATGTTGATTCCTGCACTGCAGTGACTTGACAGCTGGCTGCCGGCAGACCTGCTTCTGCGCTCTGAACTGGGAGCATTCGGAAGCAGCCAAGATATCGTGCCCAGAGCGGCCCAGAGCGGCACCTCCCGCATCGTTGATTGGTCCAAAAGGTGGGTCTCATGCTGACGGAGGATTTGATTACTTCTTGAGGATTTTGTTTGCTTACAGTAAGGTATTTTAATGATTTTTAATGTATTTAAAGTCCCTTTGACCATATCAAAACATATCCACTTCGGCTTTGGCCACTGCCAAAACTTGCCAGCCATTCCCGATGGTGGATTTGAGGAGAACAGTTGTGGAGGACTTATGGCACCAACACATGTAAAGCAAATAGGATCCATACAGAAAAAAAACAATATCACATTGACGTTCATGACCAGAAACTGGCTCTTGGTTCAAAGTTCGAACTTTGAACCCCTTTTCTGTGAGAATGATCTTGTCAATTTAGATTGTTAAACCATATTAAACCCCTCTATATACTTGGCGGTTAAATCCCAGTACTTTCATGAAGTCCCTATGTTTGCCTTCTGGTAATCCAGCATAGATATGGAAGGAACCCATGGAAACCATTTATAAGTTAGTCAACCATTAATATTCAACATAGCTATGGGAAACGGCACATTTCTGAATGATTTTTGTAATATGGATTTACCCATCAAAGGTGGTGATTTTCCATAGTTACAAGGTGGTGCCTCCCCAGATATGAGTTGGTTTATAAACCATTTTAAATATAGATATATCACCTATAAACCATAGTTATTGGAGATATTTGCACCAACTTAGCTAACTATGGGGCACCACCTTGTACGTTGAAGTCCCAGAGAGTAAGACAGACAATCCTCCAGCAGATTTGTTCGCCCTGCGCGAGGCGGCCAAGTATGTGGCAGGTGTGGCCCGGCTGCTGCGCCCCGGCGCGCCATTTCTGGTGGAAGCTTGGCGGAACCGTCGAAGGGATGGGAAGCGCACAGGGGTCCTAACACAAGATGTATAGAAATAAGTGGAGGTTTCCTTAAATGGTGATACCCTCTGGTAAACTAACATAAGTATGGAAAATCATCATTTTGAATGGTAAATCCACGGTTTCTATGGCCATTTTCAATAGCAAACTGTTAGTTTACCAGAGGGTACCACATTTGTCATGGGAAATTCCGATTAAATATTGGATGATTTGATCTCGGTGGTTGAATCCTTTCATCTTTTGGTATCGGAATTATCTACTGGCATCAGCTAAGAATTTGTTATTTTTGGCAGGGTTATCTGGCTGATTGGCCATGATAAGTCAATGACAAGTGATTCCAGGGTGTTACAATAGATGATTCCAGCCAAAGAGAAACGAAACGTTGGAAAGCGAAAAATGCCGGAGGATATGGGTTTTATCATGTTTTATCATGTTTCCAGGGTGTTACGGTGTTACCCTCTGGTAAACAAACATAGCTATTAAACATGGCCATTTATAGTTGATTTATCCATTAATAGCATGGTGATTTTCCATAGTTATGTTAAATTACCAGAGGGTAATAAGTGGGTTTGTCTGAAATAAAGTAGCCCTAAATCCCTTAGTTACTCATGCGGTTTCCCATATTGAAGCAGCCATTTTGTAGGTATCCCGATGTTCAGACACAGCCAAATGTATTCAAACGATTTGGAGTATCTAGCATAACGCTAACGCATCATCTAGCTGATTTACGAGCGGATGGTCATGGTGTCTGGCGGGTTGGGATGGATAGGTCATAGACATTGTCATGATCTCAGATTATTACATATTATTACTATTTTCTTTGCATTATAGATGCTATTATTTGTTCATCACAATTATTGTCATTATTATTATCCTTGACATAATCTATGACGACAACATTTATATTCTTTAAATGAACAACATCATGATTGGCGAATCGTTTGTTCATGCCGTAACAAAACTACAGAAGAAAACAAATTAGTTTGAGTTTGAGGGGAAAAACGAAAATATGGTTTGGTTTCCCAGGAACCAATCCAGATAATTAATCATCTTGAAATAGAAGAAACACCTTGGCCTGCATTTCGATATTTGAACATAGTAGAATTATGTTTAAATGCGTAGGTGATTTGAAAGTAGTTGGCTGCGATAGGCCCCCCGAAGCTGCAAACCACGTAGCAAAGCTGAGGGTCACCTCATCATGTGGGCATTCAAATGATTTAGTACTGCACTACATTACACCACACAATGGTAGCTCCAACAAAATGGTCAAACTGTTTGACTTCTATGGGGAGACACCTATCCAAAGCAGGAATCATTTAGGTTCCACGGCTGAAAAGAATATAGATGCGGTACCGGTCAAACAAAAATGCATTGTTCCCCACCTGCCAGGTGAGGGTTATTAGATTTTATCAGAGTTGTTCTTCTCCTCCTCGGCTAGCTCTTCTCCTCTTCCTCCTCCTCCTCTTCCTCGCCTCCTCCTCGTCCTCCGCCTCCTCCTCCAGTTTCTCCTCGACCATGTCTGCATCAACTTCCACCTCCACTTCCGCCTTGCCAACTCTTCGCCAAGCTCTTTGCCAACTCTCTTCGCCAATCTCTTTGCCAACTTCCCAGCTCAGTGTGCACCGCTGGACCTCAACCTGGGACCTTCCCAGCTCAGTGCGCACTGCTGGACCTCAACCTGGGACCTTCCCAGCTCAGTGTGCACCGCTGGACCTCAACCTGGGACCTTCCCAGCTCAGTGTGCACCGCTGGACCTCAACCTGGGACCTTCCCAGCTCAGTGTGCACCGCTGGACCTCAACCTGGGACCTTCCGAGCTCAATGTGCACCGCTGGACCTCAACGGCCAGATAGAATGCCAGAAGATATGCCAGATAGAATGCCAGATAGAATGCCAGAAGATATGCCAGATAAAATGCCATAAGATATGCCAGATAGAGTGTCAGAAGATATGCCAGATAGAATGTTAGAAGATATGCCAGATAGAATGCCAGAAGGTATGCCAGATAGAATGCCAGATAAAATGTCAGAAAGAATGCCACAAGATATGCCAGAGAAAGTGCAAGGATTTTTGCCAGATAGAATGCCAGAAGATTTGCCGGATAATATGCCAGAAGATATGCCAGATAGAATGCAGATGGAATGCCAGAAGATATGCCAGAACATATGCCAGAAGATATGCCAGGTAGAATGCCAGAAGATATGCCAGAACAAATGCCAGAAGATATGCCAGAACATCTGCCAGGAGATATGCCAGGTAGAATGCTAGAAGCTATGCCAGATAGAATGCCAGAAGATATGTCAGATAGAATGCCAGAAGATATGTCAGATAGAATGCCAGAAGATTTGCCAGTAACAAATCGATAAATGTCATGGTGCGGATCACATGAAGTAAAGTATTTTTTGTTTTTAACAGTTAGATACGGCAGAGACCATCAGATACTGATAAAATCAATAAATACCAATCAAATTAGTTATAGTAACCACAGCAAACATGATAGAAACAGGTTCAATATGTGTGACTTATAGATACTTAGTCACAAATATCATCAAATATTCATCCTTAGTCTGTGGATAAGTCACATAGTCACCATAGTCGGACTATTTCTCTATCCATCCTTTAAGGGGTCGTCCCCGTCCCGGGCCGGGCCAACGGCCCCGTAGGTGTCCAACTCCAGCGCGCGGCAGCAGCATTTGCAGAACTTCTTTGAGGTGCAACATGTCGTCCCCGTGGATCCCCAGGAGATGGGAGCGATTGTCAATCCAGCGGTCGTTGATTAAGGTTAGAATGGTTTTATCATGGTTTAATGGTGGAAAACCATAGGAAAGCCATAGGAAAACCATAGGAAAATGCTGGTTTGATGGTGGTAAAAAATGGTGCTAAAAAATGGGGTTTAACCAAGAAAATGCTGGTTCGAATGGGATTTGCCCGGCCTGGTAAACATACAAAAAGCGAACTGGAAAGATCCACCATCTTTAAGTTCGGTAAATCAACTATTTCTATGGACCATGTTCAATAGCTATGTTAAAGTACCAGAGGGTATATTAATATTTAACGGATAAGCGGTCAAAAAAATATTGGTTAACTAAGGATATTTATACTATAATGCCACATTATCAACAAGTGAAGGTTAATTAGATTGTGTTGGTTGATGATGAAATATAGAAGTTGATTACTTGGTTATACTTAGTTCATACTGGTTGATGAACAATATAGAAACGTTAGCATAAAGGTTATATATATATATACACATATATATATACATAGAATGTGTATATATATATGATGTATATATATATATATAATGTATATATATATAATACATATGTATGTATTGGTTTATTCTAGTCAATGATGGTCAATAGTTGTGAACCATCCAATGTGGTACCAATATGAACGAATATATAACTGCCATGTCCTGATTGCCGTAATCCCAGCCATTTATGGTGGTCATATTATTGGCGATTGTTTATAATTGGGTTCACAAGATTATCCAGATTGGCCAGAAAATATGGAGCCAACTGGAGCTATGAATTGAGCTTCACAAGCACATGATATCATGATAGTGTCTTAAACTGGTTGGTGGTTTGGAACATGAAGTTTAGTTTTGCATATATTGGGATTTTTATCATCCCAACTGACGAACTCATATGTTTCAAAGGGATAGGTATACCACCAACCAGTAAATGTTGTATATTTTTTCCTACGGGAAATCCACCATCTATCCATCACTGGGATTGCTAGGGATTGCTTCTTTGCTGGGAGGGGGCAGCAAATCCAGGCCAGGACTAGTGGTGAGTAGTTAACGGCTGGTTCAATACAATAGATTTTTATATGGGGATAGCATACACAAGCGTGAGGACTGTATCTTGTTTCAACCATCCAAACTTGACAGTCGATCATTTACAATTGTCCAAATACAGGTCTGGTTTCCTCTTGTGACAGAGGAAAACAGTATCTTGAATATCGTATGTTGCAAACCTAGCATGTACCTTGTGAATAAGCAGGCTAGATGGATTTAATATCCCCATCTTCAAAAGGACAATGATACAGTACTACATTCAAATATGGCACATCACAACTCGATACAATTTACCTTAATGGCGCTGTTTATCTCTCAATTTACTGGAATGTCATCCCAAAAGTCGTCAAAATACATCAAAATGGAGGTTTCCCAAACCAGGGCTACCCCAGGACTTTCCATTTTTTTAACCATCCAGACATGGGGGTACTCCCAATGGAAACCCCAGCCATCACGGGGGTCCTCTGATCCAGCCATCCAGCCATCCAGGACAAACTCTTTGGTCCTTGCGTCTACGTTTGCCGACGCCGTGATGGTCACGTGTGACGCCGTGGGGAGATCCAGAACTGGAGCGTAGAAAAACCACGGAAAAAAAACAAACGCAGCAGTTCATGCAAGAGTCCAGAACTTTGGGTATCTGGTTGGTGGTTTGGAACATGGCATTTTTTTCCATATATTGGGAAAAAATCATCCCAACTGACTTTCATATTTTTCGGAGGGGTAGGTATACCACCAACCAGGTATACGATGACCATGAGAGCAACACGGCGAAATCTGCGAAGCCTTCGGTTTGTACATACCAAAAGCAGAGCGACTTTGAGAATCCCATGCTGCTGGCCGCAAAGTTTATTGCCCTAAAATGCAACGGTGGGATATGTACAGTTACATACTTGCGTGCGTTCAGGTTGTTACATGGGAAAACTTGAAATTTGACAAGACAGATTGTCCAAGAATTGTAAATCCTGGATGCCCAAAAACTGTTTCACTATGTTTCATTGAAGTAGAGGAGCCATATAATTTGCTTCAGAGTATCCCCTCCGACTGACCAAGACTCCAATTGATGCATCATGGCTCATTATGTCATTACATTGATCATCTTTGATCCATTTTTGGATGAAAATGCGAAATAAAGAGATGAAAGAACTAGCAATTGGATCAACAATATATGTGGTCAAACTAATAATGTGGTCTAACTGTTGAACCCATGATGTGATAAACCTTATAATGAACTAGCAATTGGATCACGCTACGAATCTCCCATTCTGGTAACTCATTGGGGATCGTTTGCCTTGGGAAACTTCTCCTCTCAGCTGGGGCAAAACCACCCTCTGGTCGATGAAAAATCCCCGAGCATGGAGGCGTTGATGGAACATCGAACCTTAAATGTTTATAGCTAGGAAACATCGCAAGACATGGATGATTGGATTGGTTTAAGGGAAATTTTACAGGAAACCATAGATTTTCCCATTAAATATGGGGCTTTCCTGTAGATTTTCCCTTAAACCAATCCATTGATTGGAGGTTTAACTTGCACAACTCATCGAAGTCGATATCTCAAAGTCTTCGAGTCGGATCAAACCGCTGAAGAGCAGCTGGTGGTCCTGGCACAGGCGAAAAAAATGGCTTGAGAAGCGGCTATATATATATATTATAAATAATTGGCCCGCATATCATCCATAAATATATATATATATATATATAATATATACAAACATATAAACATGTAAGGTAAAATTATGTATACATATATGTATATATATATAGAAAATAAGATGTATACTCACTCTGTTCCATATAGATGATTAGATGTATATAGAAGAGAAAAACACCACTTGATTGTTTTGCCATTTTCAAGTGTAGCCATATTCGGGAGATCTCAAAATGGCGGGCGAGATCCGAAAGCATGAGTAGAATCCGACTTTCAGTGAATCTGAAACATGATGAAACATGGTTCTAGTTCTAGCACCCAAGAAATTTGAAACAATCTGAAACACAGCCAAGCAACATCTAAGAAATCTATTAGAAATCTGGTGTAAGTCAAAGATCAATGTTCCAGGCTGGTTACATCCATATAGTTGAAAACAAACGACACATATTTGGTCCCTTCAATGAAACTTATAGCTATTTTCCATGTCCAACCTTGTTTTGGGGGCTTCATACATGTGCAGGAAACAATAGAACAACACCTATTTCTACATCAGCACATACAGACACAAAACATTTACAATTATCTACTTATATGCATTGTTATTTCTTCCCTTCTGCCTTTACATATGATATATACATATGTATATATATATGCATACACTCTAATATATATATATATATATTATACACTATATATATAAATATATATGTATTAATGTATTATGTATATATATATATATATATTGTACATACACAAATTCCCCGCCTGCACCAGATATTGATCCTGATTCTGTCCTAGGCACCGGTGGAGATGAAAAGGCCAAAGCCCAGCTCCAGACTCTGAGTGTAGGCGTCAGACGTCGGGAGCTGATGGGTTGCCATTCTGGCTGGTGAGGCGGCTCACGGAGATAAGGATAAGTTTATAAAACAGTCCTGAGTCCTACAAAGATACCGTGATAGGTTCAAAGAGTTTTTATTTTTGGCATGGTGAAGGACACATTAAATAGTGACTCAGTCAGTTCCAAACTTAGCAACAGATCTCCGCTGTCTCCCAGGTGTAGATTGTCTGACGTGGTTGATGCAGCCAAAGTCGCTGCGGGGTGATATTGCTTCGCTAATGAAACGATGCTGCGGTTGATGCAATAGCTGCTCTAGGTTTCTTTAGCAACACGTTGCTTGCAAGTCAAATTAGTTGTTTACTGACGCTACAGCAAATATGTTAGATATGAGTCCAACTCACAAGTTGAACCTGACATAAATAGAACAGCTGTGTGTATTCTCCAACAAAACAGGATGGAAATTGGCACATGCTGCCTTTCGATGAACATCGACTGGTTGACAAATTCTTAAAGTGGTCAAGCACCAAAGCTATATCCATTCTGCAATCAGCGGATGCCGCATTGTCAGCTGCAAAGTTTTCAGCTCATGAGCCAGGCGCAGATATGTGGAAAGTGTTCCTGTCGTGGTGGTAGCACTTTGGAACAAAATCATTGTGCTGGGTCATTTGTGCATATTTGTGCGGACAAGATTGGATTGAATGTGAGATCTTGTGAAACATGTTTGTGTTTTATGTACTTCCAACATCTTCCGCACTTGACTCACTCGTACGTTTCCAAGCCGCACCAGTAGCACCTTGCGGGATGTCGTAGACACTTCCGCCCATGGCGGAGGGACGGAAGGAATATGTTTGGTATCCTGCAGAGGACAAGGACGAATGGCGCTTGTGCCAGCTCTTGAGCAGGACGACACTGGGGACACGAAGCAAGTGGTTGAGATGATTCAGATGGTTCAGCGATTAGATCATTGTGGGAGTAGCCTCCAATTTCATTAAACATTAGCCAGGAGGTATGTGACCTGGTTCCCTTTGGGATCCACTTTTAAGTGACCCATAGTGACCCATTTGCAATTGGCAACCAAGGAAAGTGCCCTGGGTGGCTGGTGAAACAGGATGATCATGAGATTTTGGGTACCTATAGTTTTCAGGCAAGAAACTTATAAAATCAATTAGAATCATATATATATATATATAATCAATTAAAATGCATCATAAAATCAATTATATTCCATTATAAAGTCCATGTCTTAGTTTTTTTCATTACCCGAGAATGGTCTGTTTCCTTTGCCAAAATTTGAGCGGCCGGTCCTTAGGACACCCGGCGGCGGCACCAGCCTGCGCTTCAACCAGAAGGCACCGGTTTGTGTCGGAATGTGGGCTTTGCCCAACGGAGGATTTAGCCTCTGGTTAAACTAAGATTATTACCCATAGGATCCATATGTATTGTATATATGCTAACATTTGGGGTATATTGATGGTAAATGTTACCATATATGGCATACATGGATCCTATGGGTTATGGAAAATAGATGAACAAGATGAACATGAGTCATTTTTAGATGATTTAATTTATTTAATGAATTACTCTCTCGGGTAATTGAAGATATGTCTGGAAAATGGCTCGTTTACAGATGAATTACTTATCAAAAAGGGTGATGTTCTATAGCTATGAGAAATTGTCAGAGGGCAACCCAGAACGGTGGATTCATATCAACAACCTATGCCCATTTTGAGTGGAATCACCATTTAGAAATGGCTGTGAATGGAGAATTAGCCAACAGAAATAAGGGATATTGATGCTGTGATAGATATATTATTGATATATATATATATATATATGTGGGTTTGTCCCAAACATGGTACCAAAAAAACAACAAGTTTAATGGAGAACATCATTCTCAACCATCCGATTTTAGAGTGGTTTCATACCACGTGTTTGTGATGCAGGTGATTGTAGGCAATTTACCAGCAATCTCAGGATATATAGCCAGCCACCAAAGAAAACCTGACTTTGGTCCCTTAAACAAGAATGATGGCTATTTACCCTGAACACCACCTGTGGCTGGCTTCACGTGCATACCTCATCGCCGAAGGAACAACAAGTACATGACCCAATTGGGTTCGGTTGAGAAAGGGGTACTCCAAAATTGATGTTTTATCATACGTATGTTATCATATTCCCTCTTAAAGTGGCCATAAATCTTATGCCATAAATGAGGGGTAAGTCACCCCCTACTTGTATGTTGAGACCCACCCAGATAATCCAGATATAATGATATATCATATTGTTCTTGTTGAAATATCTCCATGTCTATCCCCATGAATCGTCCATGTTATCCCCATGTTGTGGGGGTGTTCTACCCCCATCCCGACGAGTGAATCGCTGGCGAAGGAGCTCCTGGTACCACCAGAGGAAGTGAAGTTGATTTGTCCCCGCGATGGATCTGGGCAACAGAATTTGGCATCTCTTGTGTCTCGGCTTTCTGTAAGACCTGGCTGTGGAAACGGATTCCCAGGGAGACAGGGAGATTGATATACCACCTGATGGCTCTTTCAAAAGGGAACATGATGACAAACCATCTGGATCTTGGGGGTACCTGTATTTTCAGACAAACAAACTATTGTGACTCGCCACGCAGGTTTTCGAATTGGTCTGAGTCATGCATTTGAAACTCAAACTTCGAATATTCCAAGATAGATGTAGAAGGGACTTCAACATCATTTTCATATCATAAGTGGGGACATATGTTGGGACTAGACACATCATTTTCATGTACCTTTTCTAATGATATCACTGGAATTTTCCGTTGTGATCTTTGGTATCTTCCAAGTCCCCTTTCAAGGAGAAGGACGGACTTGGAGATGATCGAGTGGAGGACTTCAAGCTCTTTGGGGTTGATCATCAAAATATTTGTTTCATTATCATCAATAAATTTCTATCCTATATTTTGAGATCTTAACCCTAGCATTATCATATTTAGTATCACTAAACCCTATTATTTGTTTATATCCTATATTGTCATGTCGAGGCTTGGATCTGAATTTCTATCAGAGGGGCGATCCCATGACGATCGCAGGATGCCATCCGGAACCAATTCTGCAACCAGAATCCGCTCCCCGGATGCACTGAGGGTTACCCTCTGGTGATTGAAGGTAGGGAACTGGAAAACCACCTTTTTAAAGATTTGTTTAGGGAACACATCATGAATCATATGAATTGGCCATGGCTTAAATAGCTATGTGCCAGAGGGTAAGTTTTAAGATGTTATAAGATGTTATAAGATGTTATATGATGTTATATTATGTTATATGATGTTACATGATGTTATAAGGCCAATGAAGCATACTTACAGGAAATTGAATGCTGTTTACTCCCTACTGGTTGGTGGACTCAGGCGTTTCGATAGTTGGCATCCTAATGGGGTTGATGATCATAATATATATATATATATACATAGTAATAATAATACATAATAATCATAATATTAATAATAATGATGATAATAATAATAATAGTAATAATAATAATAATATATAATAATAATACAACATAATAATAATAATTATTATTATTATATATATACCTACTACTACTACTACTACTACTTCTACTACTACTACTAATAATAATAATCATAATCATAAACATTATATATATACATCATAATAATAATGATGATAATAATAAAAATAATATTATTCATCATAATAATAATATCAATTATTATTATTACAAATTAATATAAATTAATATATAATGTTCTGGTGCCATTAATATACCCCTCTACATGAAGTACCCAAATCCCGGAAAAAAAATATAGTAAACCCGTGCCCCAAATAAAGTACGCCAACCAATTTTTGGATCTCAAGTCTCAAGGGCCTAAATTTTGATGGCTCACTTTATTTCTGAATTCCTTTCTTATTTCGACCCCTTGAAAAGATAAGATACTCAAATCATTACCCCATGAATCACATGCATTATTTAGAGGCCCCCCTAAATAAAATATTCTGACATGCGCTCCCATGGGATTTCTGAGGAAACCCTTTCTCAAACCCTTTCTGAAAGATCATGAAATTGAGAAATTGATGGCTCAAATGGTCGATGGCTCCTACTAAAGCCGTATTAAAAAATGCTCAAATCAATCGCGCAAAGGGTAGTCCTGAAGCCCCCTAACATCTAATAATGAATGAATTCTCACCCCCTGAATAAAGTATTTGGATCTCAAGGGCCCAAATTTTGTTGGCTTAATTCATTTCTCAATTCCTTTCCTATTTGAACACTTCAAACAATAAGATATTCAACTACCCCATGAACTAAATACTTTATTCAGGGGGGGAACCTAAATAAAGTAGTTTGAAATACGCTCCCATTGGATTTCTGGGGAAACCCTTTCTCATGTGCGAACACTAAAATGAAACAAAGAGTCCACTTATGCATTCGTTTTCAATTAGGCAATTTGTTCGGCACCACATAGGTCTGGAACATTTTCCAGGGACCCCAGGCCATTGTTTGGCAATGTTTTGGGGAGTTATTAAGAGCACGTCAACATTAGTATATATATATACATACATATTATACAATATGTAGACATCTTCTTTGGGTAGTTCCAGCACCGGCATTGGCTGTTTTGTGGTTGAGATCTTGACCTTTTTTTTTTCCGGTGGTCTCAGCCACTTTTTTCAGGACTCACCGGTGATGTCATGGTGATTGAAGCTGAAACTGCCACTGTGTGTTTTCTGTGTTGTGTGATTTGCAAATCACTGCAATACCGCAATTGATACACAAGTACAGCAGACGTAATGCTACTGCTTCTTCAGTGTCTTCATTGGAAGATGACAATGATGGCAACTTATGATAGCCACTGGCTAAGTGGTTGATGGTGAATCGGTGTAGTAGCAAATGATCATTAGCCCGGCCTCTCTCGGGCAATGAATCTAAGCACATTAGTTTAGTGTGTTATAATTTACTATGGGTCTAACCATAATATGATACCATTTTTAGGGAGATGAACATCCCATATTTCACCAGCGAATGTTTGAGATTCACCAGAGCTACGTTACGTTCGTCCCATCCCGTCTTTTTCGATGGTTGATATCATGGTAAGGGAACTTGGAAACTAGGTACCGCTGAAAACACTGAAATTCGATCTGGAGCCCCAAAACTTGCATGTGTCCATTATCATTAACATTTTGATATATACTACTTGGACCATTGACGAGCTAGGGTGATTGTCACCCCATATCTATCTGGTACTGCTAGGGCCCCTTATTGTCCATGATTTACCACTGAGGTATTCCAATATCGACGAGATCACGCTCTGCGTGAATCCTTTCAGATATCTTCCCATCTTCGATGAGACCTTCATCGACAAGTACGCGTCACTTGCGTCTAGGCAGCAATTAGATGGCAAACTGCCACACTGCAGTTTTGGTCGGGAAAGAATCCTAGCGTTGCATTCTGGCAATGGGGGTCACGCGTACATCTTGATATATCTTCACTGGAATACATGCACACGCACAGTCACTCACTGTAACATCTCTCAACCTGCAAAGATCAGGGGCATGTTTGATACTTTTTATTCATTTTTGATATGGGTATGGATCAATACCTATTAATACCATTTTTAGGGGAATGAACATCCATTTACCAGCTATTTTGATGTTCACCAGGGGTACAAGGTTTTGACACACTGCCATATCTTTTATAACCTAATAAAGTAGCATTTGGCGAGTCCTGCTGAGCAGTTCTTCGTAAGAGCAGCTCGCCCACGTCAGTCACGGGAGTTGCCCAAGGATCCATGGTGGATTTGCAAGGCACTTTCTCTTTTCCTTGAAAGCCGGAGGATATACCATCTGGTTAATTAACATAGCCATGGAAAATCACCATTTTTAATAGGAAAACCCAGGTAAACCATCTATTTCTATGGGCCATCTATACCATGGCGAACTGTTAGTGATAACCAGATGGTAACGGTTGCCATTTGAAAGCTGGGAATTCAGCCAAGGATGCCAACTTGCCGCCCCACATTTTCAACGCAACGGCCCGGGCATACCAGCGATCTATGGCCAAGAAGGACCCGGATGGGGCTGGATGATGCGGTTGCCATTTTAGATGTTTCACATTTCTGAAGTTCCCCGATTTCGCCGCGGCCTTGGAAGAATGCCCAGAATGATGTTGGCAAAGTAGTTCGCAGGCAAGAAATGCATTTTCAATGGCTTCAACAAGCTAGTTTGCCCACTTCAAGGTGACTAAAGGCCGAACTCCATGGCTCAATGTGTTTGGAATCCTATTGCAGGTTTCTTGTTGGAAGCAGAGTCAGCGTGCCAGGAAAATCAAGTCTTGTGTTTGTTGGGTGATCGTTCTTCGGGCAAATCGAAAGCCTTGGAACATCTCTTGTGCACCTCGGCCGACGACCCGACGATGGGGATCATGATTTCATCCCAATGGTTGAATGGTTGGGAGGAGCCCAGCTGACATTAGATGTCTCAGTTGACCTTTGCGACTGTTGCTTGGAAAGAGATATTATATATATATATATTATATATATTGACTTTATATTACGTGATTATAATATATGATATATTCTATATATTATATATTCTATAGGACGAATGGCTCTATATTCAGAGAATTACTGTATTACATGATTCCAATATATTCCAATATGATTCCATGATGTCCTACTTGGAGGATCATCCCAGTAGGTTCCTAATGATTCTCCCGTGGCTGAAGGTTTCTTGGGCCAGACGGCAGGAGACGGCAACTCGGCAGATGATGAGGTGGACCATGGCTTGCTGACTGCAATGGTTTTTTTTTGAGGGGCCAATTGCAATGGGATACACTGGGGATAGCAATAATTCAATAGAATCATCGATAAATGGGGATTTCATGAGGATGGGATGGGACATGTTGGATATCATTATCATCTTAACCCTGGATTACTAAATTCCCTCAGTTTGTTAGTGGGGGGAGTACCAGTTTTTCATTTTTATAGCAAGTAGTTTGCAAACTCCAGGGTTGACATTGTGAGATGATTGAGGTGAATGAAGCACGTTGAAGCACCAATCACTGTGAGCCATGCTGATGGCTCCAAACCTATGAATCATTCTGGTTCTACTCAAACAGCTTGGGAAACCGGTGACATCAACGACCAGATGAAGACCCTGGGAAGGGTTCTCACGCTCTTGAAGGGAGATCTTCCCACGAGATGTCCCCTTCAAAGTCTCCAGAAATTGTGTTACTCAGATTTGGGCAGATGGGAAGGATTTAGCCTTTAGCAACTCCCGGGATGGTTTCAAAACGGTTCCAAGATATGTCCCCCCAATTTCAACTAATATGATGTTTTCAAATGTTTTCAAGGCGTCTTTAAACGATGATGATGTTTCCAAGATGTTCCAAAAATATGACAGACGCAATATTTCGGATATGATCTCCATCACTGAACCAGCCACCCTTGAGAGCTCAGGGGATGAGGAGTTCAAGAGAGTGTTGGAGGCGAGACATGGTAGCTTAAAGACCTGGACCATAGATTGGAATGTCGGTTTTTAGTATGATCCATCTTGGGGGGTACCCTCTGGTAATTTAACATAGCCATGGAAAATGGCCCATTTATATATAGTTGATTTACCTATTAAAGATGGTGATTTTCTATAGCTATGTTAGTTTACCAGAGGGTATATACCCAAGTTTGACCCTGTTGGAGGAGTCAACTTTTTGGATGTCATGAGTCATGGGCACTTGGAAACCCTGCTGTCGTGGGTGGGAGATCACCCCTTTTCCGGGCCAGCAACGTCCAAGTCGTAGGTGCCCCAAATGTTGGTAATTAGATATATAATGATTTATGTATATATATATGTATGATATATGATATATGATATATGATATATGATATATATTATATATATACACACCATATATTCGGCCCGCGGGTTAATTATAGTGACCTCACTGTGACCGAACCCTGGAATCATGCTTAGGATTCGGGAATCATTCCCACATGGCCGCAAGATTCAGCTTAGTGAATTATTATGACTTACGCATGAATATTATGTGTAGGAAATCTACATCATGTATACAATGAGATAATCATCCAATCCACTAATTGGTTTAGGGGAAACTTTGCTGGACCCTCTATCTGGAGGTACACTGGGTACATATCACATATAAAAACATGGTTTCCTGCAAATGGTGCATGGAAAATCCATCCACTATCCACTGCTCCGTTCAATCCATTTAGATCTTTGAAACAATGTTGGTTGAATCAGCTCAAACCCACTTTTTAGTTGTTCAAATCAACTTCAAATCCAGATTCGGGGTAGTTAAAACACAATGTTTTGCAACTTCTGCCTCGAAAATTCCCATGTTCAATTGTTGAATCACCAGTTTTGTTGGTGAAACCACCTTTCTAACCATTTTTCACTCAGAATCATCCAGAATCACTGGTGTTGAGTGGTGAAATCACCCTTTTTCCTGGTTTTCACTCCCGTTTTGCTGGCGAAAAACCACCTGGAAACGGTATACTACCACTGTTATGGCCCTTAACAGTTATGGGATTATTTCATGATATGTAACCAACTAGTTGTAGGAGTTAGTTCATCCCATTTATCACTAAGGTTATGGGATGAACTAACTCCTACAACTAGTTGGTTACATATCATGAAATAATCCCAGAACTTTTGCTGTAGTTGGATTATTTTCACTGTTAGTTGGATAACATGTTATGTATATATATATATACATAACTGTTAGTTGGGCCATGCACCGCTCCTCACGGTAGGTGCTTTGGCCCTTCCTGTCGATCTCTTCCTCACTGGGCCGTCACACCTGGCTTTCCACGCGAGCCCTGCTGGAGGACGCGGGAGGAATGCGGGATTTCTTGGTGAAAGATGGTTATGTTAATGTATCAACAATGTGATATGTATACATGATATACTTATATATATATATATATTGTATACATATATTTTTTTGTTTACATATATTGTATACATATAACTTTATCATTGATATGTGTATGTATATATATATATATATGTGTTTTGCTATTAAGTGTTTATAATCTATAAGTAAAGTAACCGCCAAAAAGATATCAACATATTTCCCAATTTCCAGTTGTCCGACTTGTTGTTCTCTTTTTGGTGGGTTGCATCGGGGTGAATTTCATAGTTGGACGGGAACAAAACAAGAAACAAACATGGGGATTTCACTGGTGAGATATGGGTTTTAACTGTTATGTATATATATATATATATACATATATATATATATATATTATCATGGAATACAATGAAAAACATAGGCAAATGGTGGTTTAGTGGTGGTTTAGTGGTGGTTTCATGGTGGTTTAACCAACAAAATGGCGGTTTTAATGGGATCCCGATGTGGCCAAGTAACGATCACTCCCTCCGGATGATCAAACAAATGGATGATCAAACATTGACAACAAATTGATGATATATAGATAACATATATAAATAACAAATGGATAAAATACAACTCAAACATATGTAGATAACTTAAACGGATGATCAAACGTGATGAAACACTGATGAACGAGAAACATAGATGGATAGTAGTTGAAGATAGAGAGGCTAAGTCCTCGTGCTTTCCATGGGGATTTCCATGGGGATACACCCGTTTATGGGTAGTTCATAAATGGAAAATAACTGGTTGGTGGTGACTGGAACATGGCTGGATTATGACTTTCCCATGATATTGGGAATTTTATAACCCCAACTGACTTATTCCATCATTTTTCAGATGGGTAGATATACCACCAACCCGATATTTTTTTTTTAACATGGATGACTTGGAGGTAGCCCCATGACTTAGGAAAGCTCTAGATGTAGCAACATGCATAGCTTTTCGCGGCAGGTGGAACTGGGTTTCGCAGCTGATGGTTTCATTTGTCACACGCAGTTGAAGGCGGACGGGGAGGTTGGAGGTGATGGGACGATGGGACCTTTGAAAGACTTGGCGACTTGCTTAAGGTGATCCCTTCTTTTTGGGAATGTTATTGGTGAATCCAATAGCGGAACTCTATTTGTAGCTATCAGTTGTCATTTTCCTAGGGATTGGTGTTGCCTCTGCCTTTGAACCGTTTTGTGATGTTTTGTGTTTCACTGATATTGACCGTCCAACTCTGCTTTTTGTATCTTTTTGTGGTCGCGCCGATCGTGCATCCACCAAGTGATAGACACTGATAGACAAACGGACAGACAGACACACAGACAGCCAGACAGGCTGCCAGGCTGGCAGGTAGGTACTGTAGGTAAGGTAGGGTAGGGTAACGTTTGGTTAGGATAGGGTAGGTAACCAATGATAAACAGATGCTGGATACCCTCTGGTAAACTAACATAACTAATGGGAAAATCACCTCAATGGGTAAATCCACTATTTTGACTGGGCCATTTTCCAGTTCGCAAACTGTTAGTAATTTATACAGAGGATAGGTAATCAATGATAAACAGATGTTTTTTCTAGATATTCAGTTCGCAAACCAGGTCCGGTGCCTGGAAGCTCATCGCGTGGCACATCGTGGCGCTGCCAAGAACTTCGATGTGCTGTACCTGGCGGCGAAGGCGGGGTGCGCTCGCAACCCCAGACATGGCATGAATTCACAGGGGAAAACTCGCTGAAATCACACGGAAAAAAAATACATTAAAAATGGTGATTTTCCCATTAAAAAATGTGATTTTCCATAGTTATATATATATGGGATAATAGTATATAATCTGGTTGGTGGTTTGGAACATTATAATCCCATTTGACTAATTTTTTGTAGTTCATAAATGGCATATATCTGGTTGGTGGTTTGGAACATGGCCGGATTATGACTTTCCATATATTGGGGATAATCATCCCAACTGACGAACTCCATCATTTTTCAGAGGGGTAGGTATACCACCAACCAGTATATATAGCTGGGTGAGATGTTGTTTTCTTCATATGTTGGTGGTTTAATATCTGTGTCAATACATTTTTTTCGGGATATGAGCATGAGACATCAACATATTCTAGAACGATCCTGAACTTAGCATCATATGTTTCCTTTTGGGTGACCGTTTTTTTTTATTGTTCACCTGCTTCGAAAATTCCCAGGATGACGATGCTGCGGAATGGCTCGGGGATTCTGTGGAATTTCAAATTCTCGGAGACGAGGCGGCACCCATGGCTTGGCCATGGCGAAGCTATTCTCTCACCCATTGGGATATGGTTACCCTCTGGGAAACATACACATAACTATGGAAAATCACCATGTTTAATAGGAAAACTCACTATACGTTCTGTAAATATATAGCCATGTTCAATAGCTATGTTAAATTACCAGAGGGTAGTTAATGGGTATATGAAAACCCAATCTATTAGGATCACAGGTAAAAAAAAACAGTTGGATTCTTGTTTCACCAATTTGTTTGGAGCCAGGTGGAATCTGGGAAGATGTGAAGTATCTTCAAGAGCCCGCCTATGATAGACATGCATACATATCTTCAAAGAGAAGATGATATGGAAGGGAAAACAGTGACATCGAGCTGCAGTTTTTTTCGAAGTTGGAAGACTTGTGAACCATGGAAAATCCCAAAAAGTGGCGGGAAAATCCACCATTTTTTAGTGCGTGGATTTTCCCAGCGCACTAAACCTCCAATTTAGTTTGGGGATTCTTGCAGCGTTTGACCAGAGGCTAAATCCCCAGTGATATTTGTAGAGGACTCTCTAGGAATTCAGATGTCCAATCGTCCAATCCCCATTTCTTGCTTCAAACATCTTGCAACTCATATGTTGTTCTTGACCGCGCTGGACTTATCCAGACGCTTAAAAAAGCACTGTTCATTGCTCAACTCCATGTTTTCTGAAGGGCGCATCGGAATCTCAAGGCCTAGGCCAATTCAAAAGCCATAAATCATCGCGCTTTTCCGAACCATTGAAATCCCATGGTAAAACCATTAAACATTGGTGGTTTGGAACATGGCTTTTATTTTCCATTTCATATATGGGATAATCATCCCAACTGACGAACTCCATCATTTTTCAGAGGGGTAGGTATACCACCAACCAGTAAATGTTGTATATTTTTTCCTATGGGAAATTCACCATCAGTATCCGTCACTGGGAAATCCCATGGTAAAAACCCACTAAACAGTTACTATAATATATAGTGATAGTATAACCAAGTATACCCATACTATATCATATATATCATATAACTGAATATTATACAAATTATACAAATTCTACTAATTATGAAACCCATCTGTTGATATTGGGATTCCCAACTCAAAACACTTCAGACATCACAGAATTTGAGTTGGCCTCAGATTGACTTCGAAGAGTACGACGAGTCCGGCGCAGCGCGGCAGCGCTGGAGAGCCGCCGTGGATGCCGTGGATGGGACAGCGGGCGGTGAGGGGTGAGGTTCCGCAGTGATGTTTCTCGGTTTACATCCATATAGTTTAAAAGGGGATATAAAGGGGATTTATATGGTATATAACTATATAGTTTATAAATCTGGTAACTATATATATATATATCTATATCTATATCCCCTTAATCAAGCCGGTTGTCAAGCAAGTTCTTTGCGTCAACTTAGCTATCGAACAGGGGCCTTACCTTCCCCAGTTCTTGGTTTGTCTTAAGAAAAGTGGACATGGTGTAGCCCAAATGTGCCAAAATCGTGGAATTCAATGGATGTCCTAAATCATTTTTGGAATGGTATTCAAACATGGAGGTATAGAAACGCAGACATCCATTCTATGGGGACACACACACATATACATATATATATATTGTAAATGGAAAGCAACAACAGTATGATAAGGGCATACAGCAGGGGATTTAGTCAGCAACGTAACAATTGACAATGGAGGGCTATTTATTTTGGGAATTACTTTTTTCCCGTTTTGTTTTTTTTTTAGATTTCTGTTTCCCTGCTTCTTTGCTTTTCAGCTTCTCTGCTTTTTGCTATTCTGCTTTTCCCTGCTTCTCTGCTTTTATACTTCTTTGCTTCTCTGCTTCTCCGCTTCTCTGCTTCTCTGCCTCTCCGCTTTTCTGCTTTTCCCTGCTTTTCTGCTTTTCCCTGCTTCTTTGCTTATCTGCTTTTCTGCTTTTCCCTGCTTCTTTGCTTATCTGCTTCTCTGGTTTTCCCTATTTTTTTGTTTCTCGTAGTGCAGATAATCCTTAAGACACATCATATAAATTCATATAAATAAATAAACCCCAATTCAACCATAAAAAAAACAACCAAAGAAACACTAAAGCAACTCTAAAGCAACTCAAAGTAAACCCTAAACAGTCCCTAAATAATTTTGAATGTAATCCTGAATAAACCTTGCACAAGCCCTAAATAGATCTCAAACCAAACCTAAATAAATCTTAAACCAACGCTAAACGCACCTTAAACCAATCCTGAAGAGGTCCTGCACCAACTCTAAATAGATCATAAACCAACCCTCAACAAACCTTAAACCAACACATATCAACACAAAATAGGTCCTAAACCAACCACAAATAGGTCTCCAACCAAGCCTAAATAAACCTAAACAAACCCTAAAAGGATCCTAAACCAATCCTTAAAAAAATCCTACATAAACCTTAACTCTAAAACACTAAACTAACCCTAAAACCAACCCTAAGTGAACCCTAGTCAAGAACTACCATGTTACGTGAACACTTCGAGCACCAAAATGTTGCAAAATCCATCGAAAATGAGAGGTTCGAACTCCAAAATGCTGTAAATACCCTTAAAACAGCAGCTTCCAGCTCCAAAATGTTACTAATTCCACCAAAATGTTGCAAATTCTATGGAAATGAGAGGTTCCAACTCCAAAATGTTGCAAAGACAGTTGAAATGGCAGCTTCCAGCTCCAAAATGCTGCAAATAGTAAGGAAAACGGGCAGAAAAACAGATCAAACAAAAAAAACAAAACGGGAAAAAAATAACTCCCAAAACAATTCCGGACCCATTGACAATTTGATGGGATATGAATTGGATGCCATATATATATATATTATAAATAAAATTTGATGTAACCTTCAATGAGTTTGATGTTGTGATGGATCGAAACCACTGACCAAATGGTGGATACCCTTTATATGCTCTCAAGATACTTCAAGTTATTTGCAATGTCATTTTTTTTGTTGGGGATGTTTGGGTTTCTCAAGTACTACAAGTATTGGAAACACATGTTTACCCAATGGAATCAGTCAGACAGTTTTCTTCAAATTCACATGCCCTAATCCATTCAGACTTTTTTTAATGACCATCCCCTATTTTACCATAAATCGGTGGTATAAACCATCAGCATATGAGTGGTGTATTATTGTTTTACCTACATGACAGGCATCAACAATGTGTCGTTAGCTAGCGGAGTCATCACAGCCGATGGACGAGACGGTCCTGTAAATAATGGCCTTTTTGTTAATGGCAGTTATGTGGCCAATGGATGTAAAGATTATAGCTGATTATGGCAGTTTTGTGTGAGTATATATTTGGATAATCTATGGCCATTATTATACTGGATTTATTGATTATAGCTGATTATGGCCAAATGTATCTTTATATTTGGATATACTTGGCTGATTTCCAATTTGATGAACTTGGTGGATCATCCTATGTAAGAAGATGAAACTTGATAGATTGTCCTAATGAAATTGCACGTGGACTACTCCTACTTACCCAGCTCAGAATGAGGTGTACAATCTACTTAGTAAGTGTGATGAATCACCGAGCACAAGATGTTCTCAGCTTCAATGAATCGTATTTCATATTTTGGAAGAGTAGGGGGGCCTTTCGCAAGAAATCGCTGCGACGTTTCGAGTTCGAGCCAACAAATCGCTCAAGGCAAGCTGCGTTAAACCAGCCGAGTTTTACTCACTGAACTCGCTGGAATGATGGTTAGTAGGGGTACCATCTGGTTATTTAACATAGCCATGGAAAATCACCATTTTTAATAGGTAAACCATCTATAAATGGGCCATTTTCCATGGCTATGTTGAATAACCAGAGGGTAACTATCCAAACTCACCTTATTTCAGGTCAGTGAATTGGTGTAGGGCAATCTTAGATGGCTAGTTTAGTCCTTCAGTCTTTTGGTATCAATGGGATTATCTACGTTCACCAGCAAAGAATCCATTTTGTTGCAGGGTATCTAAGATTGGCCATGTTATAATTAAGACATAATCATGTTGGATTTTGGAAGCACCCATCACTTCTTTGCAGGATGGACCACAACGAACTGGTGCGTATCCTTTGTGGTTCCTTGGGTGAAACAAACAGCATTTAATGTGGGTAGTATGAATGATATGCAATATATGTATATATGTATATGTATGTGTATAGATAGATAGGTTATCTCAATAGTTGTATATAGCTTAATATGAATCCTACATTAAGACATATGTATATCTTAAGATGGAAAATGAGAAACGAATTAATTCATTTCCGAAACTAGTTTCAGATTCTGGCAGGTTCGTTGTATGACCTGCTTTGAAAGCAGAATTCGTTTGATCAGATCAAGCCTGCAAGATGAATTTACAACTGACGATATCTGGGTGAGTTCAAAAATATATACCCCAAAATCACCATCTTAGGGAAAAGAATGACAAACTGCTGGATTTTAAGGTACATCCATATCAATTTGTGGACTCACCATTGTTGGCTGAGGATCTCAAGCACCGGCAGTCAGAAATTGCTTAGATTTTCAAGCCATCCCCATTAAAACCGAGCTTGCTGTTGGCCTTGTGGTTGATCTTCCATGATTTATAACTGAGATATGTCTAACATGACATTTTCCCTACTGAAATGTGATAGAATCTGGATTTTTTGCACCCCAGCTGAGGATGGAGGATGTTTTTTGAACCTGCCGCGCTGCGCCGATGGTTTCAGGTGTGATCCTCCTTGGACAGATTCAATTCAGCGATAGCCTGCAATGTGAGCCTGCAGGCGCGGTAGCGGCTATCCAATGATGGCCATGTTGCTTTATAAAGCCATGACAACTTCATTATATCCCCCATTCATCAGCCCTACTTACCAAGTTATTTCGTTGTATTCCCCATTCTTCCCCTACATAATCAACCCAACACTTAAGCAAATTATTTTGTGTCAACTTAGCTACCGGGGAATGGAGGCCTCACCTATGGACCATGTAACGGGAGATTCCATAGTGTAAAGGATTGATGTAAGGGAATAATAGCGGAAACCATGGTTCCTACCACCAAGTAAAAGGGTTTTCTGCACTGCAGATGTTGCCTTTATTCAACTATATGGGAATAGAAGGGTTTATTCGACAAGTATATATGAGAAAAAAGAACATCACGCATGGTTCAGAAAATCACATGTCCTCTCAAAATCGCAATTTGGAGGTACAGTACACACCATGTTCAGACACACCCATATTTGTGGCATATAATATATATATATATATCATATCATCATACGTATACATATGTATATATATATACTGTATACATATTGACAATGATAGTTATTGATAGTAATAATGCTAACAACATTATACTGTACAATATTGTAATAATTGTAATAGATTTCAAACAACAATTGCAATCATGACAACTATACATAACATGGAAGTAAATGAGCATAAATACGGTTTAACCATCAATGATATGGGAGTGTCTGAAAATAGTGTACCCCATTGTACCCAATGGTTTTCATGATCATTATCCCTATTAAATGGCTATAATTGGGAATATACCCAACATTTTCAGACAAACCCATATAGATTGTTGCTTGTAAGTCCAAGCCGTGCGGATACACCGCAGGCACCTTGGATGCAGCCTCGAAAGCGCTGGGTGTGAACTCTGGAGCTCTGCTTGGAGCCTTGCTGCAAGGCCGCAGCCAACAGAAAGGATGACCTCTTCAGGATTTAACTATGATCTACCATCTGGTTATTTAACATAGCCATGGAAAATCACCATTTTTAATAGGTAAACCATTTATTTCAATGGGCCATTTATACCATGGCTATGTTAGTCATAACCAGAGAGGGTAAGCAACAAGAATGCTGGTATAATGCTGGTACCATGGGAATAGATTGGAAGATGATTTATGGATTTATGGTACTTGGGTAACCAAGCACGGCTGGGAACGAACTCAAAGGGCAAGCCATGTCTACCAGAAGATAATTCTTGGACGACACCACAACATGCGGTTACCTCAGATTCTGGAATTACCCCAATTTACCTATCATAATACCAAATGATGTTACATAGATTTTGTAGCAACTATGGGTTGTTCATTTTGTCCAGATTCCAGGAGGATAGAAACTATGACAAGGGGGACATTTCAGCAGCAATGATTCTCAGTCAAGGATTTGGATAGAAAGAATGGCGTTTCTTCGAACTGCACACGTCATAAGTGTTTCTAAATGCGATTTGTGCCATAAATGGCCACTTTCAATCACTTTCTGGTTGGTGGTTTGGAACATGGCTTTTATGACTTTCCATATATTGGGAATAGTAACCCCAACTGACGAACTCATATTTTTCAGAGGGGTAGGGCTCAACCACCAACCAGCTTTCAATCAGGGACCCTGATAATCCATTGGGTTAATAGGGATAGCCTATTTTCAGACAACCCTCATATTCATCAGGGAAGATTTACCGCATTTCAGGGCGACACCTCACGATGAGCCGAGCCGCTGCCTGGCTCCGACCTGGCACTGTGTAAGGAGGTGGCTCGTGTAACCACCAAGCGTCCAGCGCAAGTCGTTTAGTCTCGTGATCCCCAGGGTTTAAAACCATAAAAAACACCAGTACAACCACCATGGGAATCCCACACCATCATAATCCCTTCAAAAAGACCCCTGATCAGAGCTGGAAGAATCAACCATAGAATCATTTCAAGTACCCCCAAATATCACCATGTCTTCACACTCAATAACTAACCCTCTGGTAATTTAACATAACTATTGAACATGGCCATTTATAGTGAGTTTTCCCAGTAAAAATGGTGATTTTCCATAATATAGTTATGTTAGTTTACCAGAGGGTAACCCTTATGATTTTTCGCCACGCCATCGCGCTATGGCCCGCCGCATCACGGTGCGTCAGCCCAGCGGCGCATGCTTCGACCTGGAACTGCCGGAGGCGAAGAGTTTCAACGCGCTGCAGACGTTGAAAGCGGCCATTGCAGCGAGGAGAACAGCGCGGGGCCGTGACAATGTGGGGCCCCCGTTTAGAATAGCTAAGTCGGTGCAACTAACTCCAATACGTATATGGTTTATGGATGTTTATGCCTACGGGTTGAAAACCGAACCAGCGTTTTGCATGTTTTTATGTCATTCATGGGGTTAACGGGGTGGGGTGGGGGGAGGTGGGGTGGGGTAATAACGTTCATTTGCACTTCCTCACATATATGATGCTGCGTTATTGTGTGTGGTGGGGTGGGGTGGGGCGGGGTAATAACGTTCATTGGCACTTCCTCACATATATGATGCTACGCTACTGTATGTCGTCTTGCACTTCCTCACATATATGATGCTACGCTACTGTATGTCGTCTTGCACTTCCTCACATATATGATGTATGTCGTACGATGCTACGCTACTGTATGTCGTCTTGCACTTCCTCACATATATGATGCTACGCTGCTGCATGTCGTCTTGCACTTCCTCACATATATGATGCTACGCTAGTGTATGTCGTCTTGCACTTCCTCACATATATGATGCTACGCTACTGTATGTCGTCTTGCACTTCCTCACATACATGATGCTACGCTACTGTATGTCGCCTTGCACTTCCTCACATATATGATGCTACGCTACTGTATGTCGTCTTGCACTTCCTCACATATATGATGCTACGCTACTGTATGTCGTCTTGCACTTCCTCACATATATGATGCCACGCTACTGTATGTCGTCTTGCACTTCCTCACATATATGATGCTACGCTACTGGATGTCGTCTTGCACTTCCTCACATATATGATGCTACGCTACTGTATGTCGTCTTGCACTTCCTCACAGATATGATGCTACGCTACTGTATGTCGTCTTGCACTTCCTCACAGATATGATGTCGTACGCTACTGTATGTCGTCTTGCACTTCCTCACATATATGATGCTACGCTACTGTATGTCGTCTTGCACTTCCTCACATATATGATGCTACGCTACTGTATGTCGTCTTGCACTTCCTCACATATATGATGCTACGCTACTGTATGTCGTCTTGCACTTCCTCACATATATGATGCTACGCTGCTGCATGTCGTCTTGCACTTCCTCACATATATGATGCTACGCTAGTGTATGTCGTCTTGCACTTCCTCATGAGAGATTTGTATCAGAACCTTGAGATGAGTTTTGAACGCAATGCACGCCAGGGATCTTGAGAGATGCACATGGAGACAAAAAGAGTGCATGGAACGCTTTTGCACCTGCTCTTGGCAGTGAAGATGGGAAAACAGTTCCCACAAAAACCTGTCCAAGCTCACTGCAGACATTGTCAAGAACACTTAGCGCAGAAAAAAAGAGACTGCCGCTGAGGTTTTTTACATTTCCAGTTAAAAGTACGCGCGTACTTTTTAAGGAAATTGAACTTTCAGGGAGATGCAAAACCACTGTGATTTGTGGTATAAAACCAATGACAAACACTGCAAACGTTGAAAACGCGGGTTCGATAAACAACCCGCCGGGATGTTTATGGATGTTTCTGGATGTCTATGGAATTTATAACTATAGTATTCACATGTATTCACGGGCTTTATAGATCAACAAACATACCTGGAGGGGCCCCACATGGGAAATCATCCAATAATTGGACATCATACAGGGACGCACATGCACTGGCATTTTTGTTGCAAATCGTGTATCAATCATGGCTTACACGCCATACCCAGTCGTATCATTTTGTGGACGATCCACGGATGTTGGTAAACTCCCATCTCGACTGGTACGACTGGATCTGCCCAGTTAGTTTGTGGGTTCTTGACCATGGTAAGTTTATCCAGCTATGTATATGAATAGCATTGAATAGCTAATTCCCGACAACAATGTGCACATGTATAATTACATATAATTACCCGATCCAACGATAACTATCTCGCCCTGCATCACTTAATTCTAAACCCACCTATATAGCTATATCATCAGCTAGACTATCTAAAAAATGCCAGTTGCCCATAGGATACCCTCACTTTGGAGAGTTGTAGAAAACTTCTCAGTTCTAGGCTTGCTAACCAGTAGCTAAGTGCAGTGATACGAATTGGAGCACTCATGTAGCCTATGATTCAACCATGTCGTTGCACATGTCAGGACCAAAATCGCCACAACACGTCAGAAACTGCTGGTAGGACATGAGTGGCTGACGGAACAGAAGCTGGGGCGGTTCAGAAGGGAAGCAGGTGACATATCCCAATGGTGGTTGACTTTTAAATACTTTTAAGGTTCTGTTTCATCCCATCCCCTTAATATGAACCACCCCCAAGAAACCATGATTTAATAGATTTCAATGGGGTGTTTTTTTAAATATGATAGGATTAATCATCAAAGCTTTCATCTAAGATTTTGAATTCTCTTCTATACGGGCTCCTTTAATTGAATGAACAGAATGCTAAACCAAGGTTCTTAAAGGGGGTATTTGATACGGTTCTTTCAAAGGAGGAAAGCGACGTGAACATGGCTAACATGGCTACCTATTGTTTTGGGCCACCAGGCAATGGCGCAACTACGTGGTTGATTTCTTTTGCACCAGAGATGTTTGTGGGTTGATGGCTATGATGTGCTGAATCTAGCAGGTTTGATGAGGTAATGTCAACCAACCAGAAGAATTAGATGACCCGACAGTCGGCCGGCGGTGTTTACAGAGACAACAAGAGGATGGAGATAGGAGGCACCATCAAGGGAGATTTCGTTCGAAAAGGCGATGATGTCAGCTAGAAGTGGTGGTTGCAGTTGATTTGGGCTTAGGATGTCAGTGGTTTTCACCTCTAATTGTTGGGGATGCAAACAGACTGTGAGGAAGGTACATGCAAAATGTTAAAAAAACACCAGCAAAGAATAACATTTGGATCGCAACAAAAGCATTTTGACTAAGATGCTTCCAAACCACGTTTCTCATTGTGTCTACTTTGACTCCTGGGTACATTGGCCCCTTAAGATTGCTTTACTTCAAGCGAAATGGTCAGGTCAAGGTCTTCCAGCCACCTCCAAGGATCTTGTTGGAAGCGAGGACACTGGAGGTTCTTCTGCTTTCCAGTCGCTGCTGCTGTCTGGTCACGCACTCCTCCAATGCCCCTGCCATATGGGATGCTGACGCCAAGACCTTGCTGCAGCCCATTCTGGTGAAGGACACCATGTTTCAGCAACCCTGCGATGCCATGTATTTGGATGATGGTGAAGCCTACATCTTGTTGAAATCCGGACGCACAGATCCTGATGTGTACCGTAGTTGGTTGCTGGTTTCAGATACGTTTTGCGCTTTTGCTTGCATCCTAATGAGCTAAACCCAAGAGTAAACAATCCCTAATTGGAGTTGCAGATTGGGTATACGGTATACTATTTGGGATGATGTAACATGGCCCACAAACGATTGGTTATTGCATGTTATTGCGATGCTTGATTCTTACCTCCCATATTCCTCCCATATTCCTGGCATTTTTTTGGATCCTTATGTGTATAGGTACCTCCACATACACGATGTACCCTCCGGTCATCATTCACATCTGGGGCGGCCTCCACGGCGAGTTCTGGGACTAGCTATTTGAGTACCCATTGATGGAAACCCGCATGCATATCATACAGGATACGGTGCCCCCCAGTGATGTGAACGTTGGTTTATAAACCCCATGACTACTACAGTATACTATAGTTATATCTACCAGCATAGTTAAGCCACCTATAAGGCAACTTAGGTATCTTGGGGATCCCATCCTGTTTCCTCATTGTCAGTGATATTTATGGCACGGCTCAGGGCTCGAGCTGTGGCTTGCTTCGACGCCGGGTCCCGATCGACCCGTTCGGCGATTTGAGTTGCCTCCGCGCTGGCTGAACGAATCGGTGGAGGGACAATTTACACCGGACGGAGAATTTGTGGTTGCTTGGCTTAAAAAGGTGGGGAATTCACCAACAAAAAGGGTGGGATACGGGGGAAAAAATCGGATAGAATTAATTATAATTGAATTATATAATACTACATTATATTTAAAAAAAATATCATAATATATCATAATATATCTATATGTGGGGATCTAGTGGGGCTAAGTTGGATTGGCTTGGATATCGTGTTCGCCAGTGTTTTTTGTCTGGAAAACTATGGACACCCAGCATTTTGGGGGGAAGAATCTATGGTATGGACGGGAATCTATGGTCCATTAGGTTTAGTGTATCCATATTGTGATGAGACTTGACCTTGCCGATTCCCAATCCATCAATTTCTACGGCTTGGTTCAGTGCCGTGAGAGTTTTTGAAGAGTTCTTTCTTCAAGATTACAGTATCATATATGGGGTTTTCCATAAATGGGGGTACCACTTAAAATTGATGGTTTACAATGGAAGATCCCAATCTAAAATGGATGATAACTAATTAGGGGTACCCCCATGACTTGGGAAAGCTCCATATAGCCAGGTTTTGGAATCAGAAATGCCACGGAAGTTAGATCTTTGGCTCAAAGGCTGTCAAACCTGGCCGTGTCAGGTTTGGGAATCATTCAAGTTTGGGGTTGGTTTATAAGTGGCTGAATTCTATGGTTTATGGTAGATATAACTATATAGTATTCATGGGGTTTAGCACTTTGATTTAGTGGTTGGTGGTTTGGATCATTTTTTTTTGCTCAATAGTTGGGATGATGATCCAATCTGACTTTCATATTTTTCAGAGGGGTTGAAACCACCAACCAGTTTATATGTGAACATAACTTAATGGTGCTTAGCAGGGAATGGATGGGAATGGGGGTTGCTGGGATGATTATTGATAGTTATTATGGATCATTCCCTCATTCCCTACTAAGCACCAGTAAGATAATGTCTACACCGGATGAACAAACGACAAACCATGGATTAATGAATTAGTTCCCCCTAAATAGTGATGATTTGCAAACAAAGTGTTCCCACCCCATTAAACAGCGCAGGGGTTCAAACTGATCGGACGTTTACATATTACGTACATAGACACACTGTATGATATATATATATATACAGAACTATATGATATAATATGTAGAATACAGAAAGCCCCTTATGTGGCCTTGATGAGTGTTTCTTTGTACTTAGCATGATGGTTGTGTCATTGCTAGTGAGTATAATTATCCATATGATTTATTGTTGTAGTATTGCTATGAAACGCCAAGGTTTTTGTTTTTTTTTCAAGCATCATCGATATGTGGCTTTGTTTGAGGCTAGGGTACCCCAAAATCCGCTGTGTTTTATCGCTATTTTCCTCATTCCACTGCCATCTTTTGGTATCGAAAAACACAATGTTCAGACAAACCAAAAATCTGCCGTCAAGAAAACCCACAAACTCCAAGATTGGCCAGATCTGAAGGAACCCATTCATACAAAGTGTTGCTACTATGTTTTTACAACTCCATTTACTTATATATGATATACCTACAACAAGCCCAACAGTGAACCTAATGAACTGATCAAGCTTCGTTACTTGGGGGCCAAAAGGGAAGGCTTCCTTTTGATGCTCGCCATGGATCCATCGCCATGGATTTCACGGGCAAAACTCTGGGAAGATCACCAGCAAACCGTTAGAAGAATCCTGAAACTGCCCAGCAAAAGTTGGGGTTCCCGGGCACCGCCTTGCATTATGACAATTATGAACCATGTTTCGAACATTTTTCAGCAACTCATAGCAATTTTTCACCAACTAATGGCCATGGATTAACCACCAATATCAGCACGTTTGATGTTTAAAGCATGTCAACATGGAATAAACATGATTGAAACAGCTAATCCTAATTCACCACATATTTAACTTAAAAACCACCATGTTTTCCGTAAAATCTAAACATCCCCAGTGGCCCAGGTGGCCTGGTCCATGGGCAACATCCTCATGTGGCGCACCACGGGTGAGGCGCACCTGACGGCCGAGGGGTCTCCCATCGCCATCGCCTTGGGCTTCGCGGTGCTGGGGACGACAGGCTGTCGGCGGTGTCCCTGCGGAGTTTGCAGGTTGGTTATAGGTATATATATGAAATATAAATTGAAATAATATATCATCATTTTTTACAGTTACTGCTTTTTCTTATATTAGGTGATCGATCTAAAGGTCCTTGTAAGGAGTTTTAATTGCGAAAGCCGTGCGTGTTATGTTGGAAACCCTCGCGAAAGTTGTTTTTTTGAGTTCGCGAAAGTAAAATTTTATTTCGCGAAAGTTTCGCGAAAGTTGGGTATTATAATCATTATATGTAAAGGGCTGCCACCCACTGCCGCCCGGGGTCCGGCAGGAGAAGGGCACCAGAGAATGCGAGTAGCAGTAGCCAAGTTTCCAAAAGTGAGGCTTTGCGAGAGCCAAACACCAAGGACCCTGGTCACCCCCTGCTGATGGCCGGGGTCTGTGCATAGGGATATTTTCGCGAAAGTTCCGCGAAAGTTATGCGAAAGAGCGGGCGAAAGTCAAAGTGCATGTTGAAGGGGGTGGGCCAGTAAACTTTGCAAAAAAAAACTGTCCTGAGAAGATGAGAAGGGATTCCGTGATGCTAGCTGCATGTTTAAAAGGCCACCAAGAAGTGATCCGTGATTCTCTGGCGTAATTTGGCAGGTGGTGAACAAATCATAAGAGGTGCTGTTGGCCAACATGTGCCCCGCGAAAGATAAACATGGAGTTCGCGAAAGTTTCGCGAAAGTAATTTTTTTATTCGCGAAGAATGGCCGTTTCGGGATAAAGGAATTTTGATCAATTTAATTATGTTGTTATTATTGTTTCTTTTTCATATTATGGAGATTCTATGTGGTTATAATCTACTTCCAAAACACCCAAGTACATCAAAGTGAACATCAGTGGACCAAGCAAATTGGTCCCTTCACCTACGACAAAAAAAGGCTGTTTTTGAGACCCTTTCGATGCACACGACCTCCTTGAAGATGATGCTTAAGTGGAAGAGCCCCAAAATTCACGGGGACTTATCCATTAAAAATTGGAACTGAATAGAATTTAACGGCATAAAATCAATGGTGTGCTGGGATATTAGTGGATGGCACACTCCAATGTCATCAAGGGTGGCTAGCTGGGCTCGCACTAAATGGAGGTTTATAGCTGGGAAAATTACAAAGTAAATAATGCCAACACCGGATTAATAACCCCCCCCAGAAGGTAGGGGGGTACCTTCTGGCTAGTTTTCTTGACGACCCCTTAATAATAAGCAACTCTGAACCATAAAACTTTGGATATGGCTTACGCCAATTAGATCTTAATAGAATTCCATTGGATTTGTTAAAATTTCATGGATCAGAAAGGTGGTTGATTAATCAGGCAAACCCTGGTTATTATTAATGGTGGACATGGGCTCATGGGGGGTACCCTTTGGGAGCTATCCAAACTGATGATTTTTATAAAGATTTTAATTAGAAATCGATCGTTTGGGGAATAGTTGTTTTTTGAAATTTTCAATGATCAACTTAAACCTTAAGTATAACAATGATGATTAAAAAAAGGTAAAAAACACTTGGAAATAAATAGATTTGGAAATAAAAATTGTTGGATAAAAACATTGATTTCAGAATTGGTGGTTGATTAATCGGGGGTAGGCCAAACAAAGTGTTTATTAATCTGAGGGGACCACCTGTTTTTAAATTACTTTTTTTTTTTGCAGTTGCTGTTGATTAATCGGGGGGGCATTATTAATCCTCACTTGGCATTAGCTGATTTTCCAGCAAACCCTAATGATTACCAGAAGGTAACACATGACTTTCGAGATATGGGTAGTCGAAAGCATTCGAAGTCCGTTAAGTGAATCAAAAACGCGGCTACAGAACCCGTTTACGATTATGTTTCGCATGTGATGGATAAATCTCCGGGAAACTATCTATATATCCATGATGATGGTAACCCGGACCATATTTTCCCATCTTGCTACCAACAATTCCCGTAAGATGATTCTTGTTTTGACCAATCCCCATTACATCTTTGGTATGGAACAAGTCGCAAGTCATTTTCCCCATTACAACGACTCACACCTTGAAGCTAAATCATTTTTGGACAGACCCAAATCATATCCCATAGGATCCATGTATGGTATATATGCTAACATTTGGGGTATATTGATGGGATCCATGTTACCATATATGGCAGCACCATGGATCCTATGGGTATTGGTGGCGATCCCAATATATCCCCATGATATCCCTGGATTGCTTGACATTCCCATTGCCGTTAGTAACATCCCCATCTCAAGCCCCGGAAGTTGTTGAAGGGACTACAGGAAGCCGCGATCTTCGGAATGAAAAACCACGTTATTTGTAGATGTTCCCTTAAATCAGTCCATTTACCCATAGGATCCATGGTGCTGCTATATATGGCAACATGGATCCCATCAATATACACGAGTCATGTTAGCATATATACCATACATGGATCCTATGGGATTGAATCCTCCACTGTTGACCTCTTTTTCGTCAAGAGCAATTGCAGATGATGCCCCCCCGTTGCGGTGATGACGTCACTGTGACAGGCATGTTCAATCGTTCTATTTTTCTGTGGGACTATCAGTGTGGGCAACAGATGCGCAAATTAGACTCTTGGATTTAACTAATTTAACTGAGTTTGTTTTTTTTTAATCTGTTCGTGTACATTGTGCATGTTTATTCTTTCCCTATGTGTGCCACAACTCTGCCACAACTTGGATGTTGCAGCCAATTTGGGGGATGGTCATCTCCCGTAATATCCCTATACCATCCACGTGAACAAATTGGGAAATCTACTTTTCAAGGATCCTGCTTAGTGACCGGTTGAATTTTCAGGTACGAGGTGAGGCCTCCATTTAGGAGAGCTAACTTGAGCTAACATAACTTGGTGAAGTGTTACTGTATATAGTTCACGGGTTGATAAACCTACTTACAACTGGGGTGGGACCTCACCTTATAGAAATTGATTTATAGCATTGAAGTTTGCTGGAATTATATCCCAGGTTTTACTGTACCCCCCATAAAAGTGATTGGCAAGTATACTCCCCATATCACTTAATTCTGAATGATTTTGATGGCGAGACTCGATTTTTTGAAGGATGAAACCGTGGAACTCCAAAAGATTTGATGGTCCATCCCCTTATCAACCCCAATAAAGTGGTTTGTGAGGGGCGCTCCTATGTTTGTTGGTTCATATTCATATCATCCCAATAATTGCTGGTGTATATCCTTGTTGGTTTTATATCATCCCAATAATTGTTGGTTTTATATCATCCCAATAATTGTTGGTTCATATTCATATCATCCTCTTTGTTGTTGGTTAAGGACTACAAGGAGGGGAGCCTTGATCAGACCGAAGCTTGCGTTTCCCATTCTGGCGCATACATTGCACTGTGGTCCTATGACAAGGCCTTGGCGGAAACAACCAAACAATGCCTCACTGAGCGGATATAACCAACAGAAAGGGGATTGGAACCAAAAAGACTGGGACTTCAGCAACAAGAATGGGGTATGCCCCTTTTCTATACCATGTCCCCATACCAGAATAGGTTAACTACTGGTATGTGTGTCTTACATGTGCACGGAGGTATCATTTCATACATTGTGAAAAACAAAAACAGATATGTACTGTATGGTTTTTTACGGGATATACATATATGGAGGTTTCCTAAAATGGGGCTACCCCAAAACCATGGGTTTCAATACACAAGTTGTCTAATTTGGGATGATTTTGGGTACCCCTATTTTAGGACCCCTCCCCATATCAAAATACATTTGGGTAAACTACCCATATTGAGAGATGGGCATCAACCTATCAAGAGGGATTTGTATGGATTTGTGCTATCAGTGAAAGCTTTCGACCATATCACCCAGATTAGCCAAGTCACCCCAAACAAGTTGGTTTGTGATGCCATCGAGCTAGAGATATCTCTAGCCGATGCCCTACTTAGTCTATGTATAAACCAACTTAGCTAACTAGGTGGCACCACCAGTGATAAAGATTAGCCATTGCAAATCAGCTATAAATCCCATCAAAAAATATCATCTTTTTTCATTTCTCACCCTATTTTCCTATGGTTTTTCAGCAACAATGTGTGTCAGGTGCTTGAGATCTTCCGCCAAAACGGAGATCCTTAGCTGCGCGCCGTTTTTCACCCTGGGGACTTGGATCATCCCACTACCTGGTGAATAACACCAGTGAGTCCTCGATTTCTGGGGTTATCCCATAATATCCCATATATAATTAATTGGGTTATAAGTCATAATAAACCAGTAAACATATTTTTCACGGCATATAACATCATATAAGCCAGTTTGTTAGTCATAGCATGTTATAACTATGGTCCTTAACCAGTTCCTAAAAGTTCATCTACCTGGATTTTTCTTGGCAAATCTCAGGATTCTGCAGCACATTGGCCGAAGAGCTTTGATTTTCACGTGCTAAATATGTGGCTGAGCTGCACCCGAAGCCGGGGAACACCAGCTTTGGAAGGCAAATCATAAAAAAAAACAACGCACTTTGCTGGTGACTGGCAATATACAATTATAATCTATATATATATATATATAAATACATACACTTTACTATATCCTTTATTTTTTATGTATATATATATATCTATTATATTTACTATCATATATTATATATACCTATTGTGTAGCATAGATATTTAACTTGATTTAAATTGTAGTATATGTATATTATAAAATGTTGATATCAAAATGCATAATAATTTCTATTCTAATCTTTAAACCTACATCATATATATATATATATATAAATATGTATATATATACACATGCCCAGGTATTTTACAGTCTCAGATCCACAGTATTTTTCTATGCCTATACACACACACTCTACTTAATATGCAGAGAGGGTGACAACTGTGTGTTTGACACTGGCACATGGGTTGTTCAGACCAGGCAGATCAAATTATCCGCCATGAACCCGTTGCAGCGTTTTGGCACGTGATAAAATTTGAAACTGTCAGGTGACAGCCAGGTATATCCCATTACATCTCCACCTTGTCCTCATTAAAAGCATTTTTCTGTCAAGCCATTTTGACACGACCCAACGCCGTTTCCCAGGGCATTCTCACCGGATGAGACGGAAATTTTGGTGCAGTACCGGGAAAGTCCTCTGAAGCCCCGCATCATCCGCATCGGAAGGGACAGAGACAGTCACGCCTTGGCATGGAAGGGGCATGGTTAAGGGCATCATGGTGGGGCATCCAATGGCATGGGCCAATGGGATGAATGGCCACACCCCAGATACCATTTTTTCACAATGGCACAGATGTTATCATTTGATGTCATCATTTTTTCCCTCAGATTTGTGGTTTGGATGATGCAAAAAATTTACAGGAAACCCTATATTTGAGGGTAAATACCGTGGTTTCCTGTACTCTATATGTTCTCAAAAAAACATATTGAGATAACGTCTTCTTGAACTGCAAAATCCGAACAGCAAACATCTTCAAAATGTCTTTCGCTGTGGTGTATGATTCATTTGTGTACTTATCTAAAAAACAAGGAGCCTTCCAACAGTATATGTGGCCAGTCACTTTTGGTCCCAAATAAATGCTAAAAAAACTTCTGCTACTGCTGCTGCTGAAGCTATGTGACTTTTTGTTCTGCAGCTTTGTTAAGTCTAGTGGGCCCCTTGAAAACCAGTTTCAGGCATTGCCACAAACAAAAAGTTGATGAAAATCTATTCCGACGCCTCTGAAGTCTTGATGTCAGCACCACATCACCTATCTTCACATTAATCTTTGTCCCTGCTCTGTTCATGTTAAACAGTGGCCTGACAACGACCTCAAGGGAAACACCGCTTGTTCCAAAACCCTAGGGAAGGTCCATCTGTCGATGAAATGATATCATGATATCCCCTATAGCAGCTAGGCTGAAACAAGTAGAGGTGGCCAGGACATGCCAGGACGATAACGAAACTGCGCGATGAACTGGCTATGGAGAATTCCGAGTAAGCATTCATACGCCTAAGCTGCAAGAACACAAACAAATTAGGGCATTAGATTAAAACCTGCAAAATGTGTGTGTGTGCGCGTGTGTGCGGGGATACCATTCACAAAAGTTGTGAGTGAACCACAGTTTAAAACATGGTTCCTGCAATTCCTCTTCGTATCGTCGTCGTCATCATCATCATCATCATCATCATCAGCAGCATCACCATCACCATCATCATCACCATCACCATCACCATCACCATCATCATCATCATCATCATCCTCGTCGAAATTATTGTCGTTGTCATCATGATTAACAACTTGGGGCGGGTGGGTCAATACTTATGATCCTTGTGGGAACACTTTCATAGAATATATGATGTACTTCTATTGGGCCCTACTATGTTGGTGTGAACACCAGGGTACCGGGGTTAAATGCCTTCCCATCCGCGGCAATATATCCCCCCAATGGCCGTTTCAATGAGGAAGCATGATGATGAAGCAGTGCGTGGATTCTATCTAGAGGTACGCTATATACTGGTATATCATATCGTATCAGAACGAAACTCATTTCATAAATTATATCGGTTGTTCTGATAGGATTGCTTGTCTTCAGTTAATTGTCATAATATATATCACATCTTATCCGTTTCATAAATAATAGCTGGCGTGACAAGATCATTGGCCCTCAATTAAGTACACACATGTACCTTGGCTTGTCGTAATGACAGTAGTTTCAGAAATGTCAGCTATGTGTTGTACTCAGAATACTTGACTTTAATTGATTGTAATGAAATCTTTGCAAGGGGGACCAGCCTCGTATCACCAAAGGTTTCGGGATTGTGAAGTGTATCAAATTAGCCAGATTCATCAGCAATGGGTGGCTTGGGTTGCTGGGTCCTCCGAGTTGTCGGTCATGGATTATGGGTCCTTCATCCTAGTTCTTGATCACCAAAACGAGTTCCTTTGTTGCAGGTTGCTGAATGGACCATTAGACCATGTTGTACCATGTCATAACTCAGCCACACTACCAACGTTTGAATCAGGTCATGAGACTATTGCAGTGGTGAACGTGAACACCGATGCTCCCACGTATTTATTCACATCAGTGGCCAAGATTTGCTGCGACTCTTTTTGGTTTTCCATTGGCAAATCCATATTTTTTATTTGCGGACTCGAAGTTGGGAACATGTTGTTTTTATGACACCCTTAGGCAACTCGAAGTCACCAAATGCTTCAGGTTGGTGAAATATCATATGTTTACCCTCCAGTAATCAAACGTGGCAACTGGAACTCCCCATCTACCTTTAATGATCTTCCCATTTCAAGACCTCCGTTTTGGGCGGAATTTTCCAGCCAGCCACCGTATACCGCTGACGGCATCGGAGGGCGCAGTAAAAATCTCAGGTGGGCTACACCGCGGACGGCCAAAGCTTCGTTTTGCTCCAAGCCTCGGGCGCGATGATACGCTTCAAGCGCAACACCTTGGAAGAAAAGCTGCCACGTACAGAGAAGCCACCGAAGGGGGTGGATGTGATGTGTTCCGGGATTTGTCCGGACTGGTGGAGTCAAAATTAGGGTGGAGTGGAACGGGTTTAAACTATATACAATGGCTATTATAATCAACTTATTGATAGATCATTAATGGCTGCTAATGGTTTTTAATGGCTGTATTAGAATAGATCATTGAAACAACAAACTGTTTTTTGTTGACAGTTTGGGACCTACCAATGGCAGGGTTACATATTGTTGTGCTCCTGACCAGGATTACAATATTTATTTTCGTTGCGACAGAGATGGGGTGGTGGAATTGACTGATTTGGAGTCTGGAAATTTGCTGATGTCGTCAGCAAGGGGCTTCGGTGATGGCGGGTATGGACCAAGAGTTTAGCCCGGTTGGAAGAACCTCGCGCATGCCTCGGATGGGCCACACATTCAACGGCTCTCTGCCCGCAATCATGGCATTCCAGGCATTCCATGGATGAATGGACAACATGAATGGAAACGGGGGAGATGCAGTACATGGATGGCAAGAAGCAAACAGCGCTGGGTACGACTGTGGTGATGCTTGAGACCATCTATCGATGATTGGTTCGAGAAAAGGTAGCAACGATGGCGAGAAGTGCTATTGTTGGGATCACGACCAGTTCAGTTTGATGTTCGGAAAGTGGGCCACTTGGGTATGGGTCAAGGGACTTCAATCCCGACAAAGTCGAAGATTGGCTGGTCCAGACACTCAACCATTCCTTTCTGGTTGGTGGTTTGGATTTTTTTCATTTTTCCATATATTGGGAATAATCATCCCAACTGACTTTTATATTTTTCAGAGGGGGGGTTGAAATTCTAAGGGGCACTCAATGATTTGAGCCATACAGTAGCCACATTTCGAGTTGCTATCTGCATTTGGAGTCATGGGATCACTATGAGATTTGGGGTCTTGCAAGGAGCTCCCTTCAAACCATAAGTTGGTAAACATAGCTGATGGATATACGAGGTGATGGGTACATAAATTCACGACTGAGGGGAGACTCTTCTTACAATAAAATTGTGTGTTTTCAGCCAGCTACATTGGCCAGGAATCAGCAATCTGTGGCTTAGATAACCAAACAGCCAAGGCATCAAGGCACACAGGTAGAAGGACTCAGTACTCGTATGAGCCAAAATCCAATCCCATGTTAGGCACTCTGACCCACATCCATCCTGCACCATCTTTTTGATGATTTCTGTTGGTCGACGCCCCGACACACATTCTGGGTAAGTTTGTGCTTGAATTTGCTTCACTTTGTGCTTTGCAAGTACGAATCCCAAAGTCACATTTACACACATCCATGACCCTCTCAAGTGGGTTTGTCAAGAAAAATGGGTACCCAAAAAATGATTGTTATAGAATGTTATATAATTCCTGATAATCCTCCGATCAGGATTGCCCTGTGTTGGGTATATTTTATTTCCAGACAAACCCACATTATCTTTGACCTTTTTGGATGAGGGATGAGCTTAATGTGGAACGGAGATGGTTGATGCACCACCAGTTGGGCACTATTTTAGTAGCAGTTGGCATGTTTGTTCTGTGCAACAAGCGTGTTATTGTCAGGAAGCACCGCTACTTTTGAGTTAGAGCTATAGTCCTTCGGGCTACAACATCAACGATGTTCATTGTAGTTTCAGCAAAGGGTGTTCTGGTTCAACTGTATCGTCGTTCATCAGCTCATCCATGGATTTTGCTGCGACATCTGAGAGTTGAGATAAGTGTTCTCCAACCATATCAGTCTTCAGCAGAACCTAGTAGGGGGACGTTCAACTAATTCTACTAGCAGGCTATCTACGGTGATCATTATGGAGTACATGCATCCAAATGCTATGTTTTGGGGCCCAGAAACAGAGTAAATAGATGTAAATAGCAATGGAATGGATACACGTAATATGACGTATGTATGTTATTTTTGGATTTAACAACATCTATTTTGGGAAGTCTGAGCAAAGCCCATTTATTTAATGTTTCAGCCTCTATTCACAGTATTGATGTGCCCTGGCTTTATGAGATGGATTCCTTGAATCTCAATCCATGACAGATTCAGTTCAACTCGGTCGAAAGCTGCTCAGTTCGGCTCATGATCTCTTGATCACTCCATTCAAACCTGTTGAAGCTTAAACTGACACTGATAGACCATCACAATTTTATGTGTGTTTCAAGCCCTCAAATTTGGTACAGCATCCAACAATCCCCTGGTGTTTCCTGTTTAGCACAAAATCCCCAAACACACCAGGTATGTACTCATTTCAAGCCTAGTCTAACTCTCGCACAGCTCCCGATGGTTGTTTTCACCCCATCACATCCCCCGAAAAGCATTGAATCCTGTCTTTGGCCCTTAACAGATCTTAACAGGTGTAAATCCTAAGGTTATACATCACTTAGATAGACTTAAATAGGGTTTTCTGAGCCAGTTCTAACTGTTCAGGGCAATAACTGCGATAGTCATCAGAATGCCATACTTGGAAGTTCGTTACTAACCATACTTGTATAATATATATATATATATTTATACTGGTTGGTGGTTTGGAACATTTTTTGTTTTGCCCAATAGTCGGGATGATGATCCAATCTGACTTTGATATTTTTCAGGGGGGTTGAAACCACCAACCAGTATATATATATGCATACATAAATAGATCCCAGCAAAGTTGGGGGTGTTAGTTCACCATGGTTATAACTATCCCATGAATATTCCAGTATCTCCCCATGACCACCATGATTGTTGGTGATATTCCCATTTAAATCATAATGAAATCAACATTTTCCGGTGATAAAATGGAAGCTAAATCCCCTTTAAACCAAACCCTAAAGCCATGAATGTTCGATAAATCCCGCTTCAAAGCCCATGAAATCCCATTAAATCACCATCAAATCATCATAAAACCAATCCCACCTGCACCGTGCCATGGCCTGCCTTCGCGTCACGGTGCGTCAGCCCAGCGGCGCCAGCTTCGAAGTGGACCTTGTAAAAAGCGGCAGCGGCACGCTGCAGCGATTGAAAGCGCAAATTGCGACCAGGAGCTCTGGAGCTAGGATTTTACAAGAGATTTTACCATGAACCATAGCCCATAGGATCCATGGTGCTGCTATATATGGTAACATGGATCCCATCAATATACCCCAGTCATGTTAGCATATATACCGTACATGGATCCTATGGGTAGGGGATTTTACCATGGATTTTACTATGACACTGGATTTGACTGCATATTTTGCCATCAAAACTGAGGATATTTAATAATCACGATATATCATGATATATTCATTATTTCATGATAACCCAGGATTGATAATGGCTTGACAAATAGCAACAATCCAATTTTTGGATGCAATTGTTTGCTCAGTAACTGGTAAACACATGCAACAGCCACACTTACTATTTCCTTATATACCAACCATACCATACCTTAAGTGATTGATGTTGTTTTCGTTCAAGTCATTTGCGCGTATTGTGTGACACTGTACATGCATACTTGAATGCACACACATAGAGAATCATACAGACATATATTTTCAATCATAGACACACATGTATATATATATATATATAGATATAGATATACTGCTTGAGATTTGCAATTGATTTATTGCAGCAGCCGTGCACTTCTACCAATACGGGATGCATTTTTTTCGCTGCTTGCGCACAATAATATGCAAAGAGCTACCAAGCACAGCTGCATGCCAGGGCTGGGCTGCAACCGCCCAGTTTGCTTCTGTCTCAGGCATTGCTAGAGAAACCGTTGCAGAAAATTGGCAGAGCTGATGGCAGGTGACCTGAGCAAAGCATGAGCGCAGCTATTTGCTGCTGTTTACGTTTTCTCGCGTCAACCAGACAAATGCTAGCTGCTATTCCCCGTGGTGAAAACTCGTTTTCCTTTGCTTTGGAATCTCTTGCCGGTCGCCATTTGAGAGCCACCGCTACAGGGTGCATTTTGAGCTGGCGGTTTCACCCTTGGTTCACCCAAGCTGCGGGGCTCGTGCACCCTTTCATGAGGCTCTTCCACACGCTCAGGTGTCTGGCAATGCCTCAGAACATGCATGCTACACCGCATGATCTATGCCCTTGCGCTGTTGCTGTTGCATGACAGCCTCGTATGCGCATGCTTTTGCTGAGAGGTGCCTTGCCTGCAATGCCAAGTTTGCTACCGTGGCTTTTTACAGGACCTCTGCCCAACCATCCAAATTCTGCCACATGAATGCTTCTTCACTTTGGCGCCATGCAGCTGTTGAATGGCACAATACATGCTAAGTGTAACGGCCGTGACATCAGCAGCCTGTATGCTTGCTTGCCTACACTCACAGTGTATATGTATATACACATAGACATGTACATACGTATATATAATTATATATATATTATAAATAATGTACATACAATTACATATACATGCACAGTAATTATTTTAATTATCAACATACTCAACTGTATACATACGTATGTACGACGCCCGACTCATTCCCATACCCGGGTAGGCCAAACAGAGCTTAGTGTTGCGCAGGACCAAGATAGCCACCGCCCGACAAAAACTGTTGGTGGGGCATGAGTTGCTGTCAGAACAGAAACTCGGAATGGAACCAGCCTCTTTTTGATGGAATATATACCCTCTGGTTATTTCACATAGCCATGGGAAATGGCCCATAGAAATAGATGGTTTACCCATCAAAAATGGTGATTTTTCCCATGGCGATGTTAAATAACCAGAGGGTAAATGAGGTTAAACCAACATTTTTATGTGGATTCAACTGAACCGACAACAGTGGCTTGGTGAATTGAATCGAGCTGACACAAAATCCGAATGGGGTGAGTTAGTTTTAAACGTCTTTTGGGAGGGATCCCCCAAACAATGGGTGGATTTGGGGTTTGGAGATGACTCTAATCGTTCTGGATCGTTGATGCTAAAATCTTGGGCTCGAAAGTATCAAGCCCCCATTCAATGGATTCAATGGGTGGTTCTAGATGCTAAACAAACCCAGTACTGTAGTTGTGGGGGTATGGGGCCCTTCTGACTTAGCCCATGCCCGATTTTTTTGATGGGAAAATGGGGGGGGATTTGGCAACAAACATGGGGTTCAACAAGCGCAACTATAGTTTGGTGACATTTTAGATCATTTTAGTGGAGCAGTGGATGTTACCAGCGGTATGAAGCAACACAAACAAAGCAAAATTCAATGGAGGTACTGTACCATATAAGGCCATATTTTGTGGGGATATTCCCTTACATAGGCCTTATATAGGCCTTATATATGGTAGGTACCTCCAATTTACGTTCCTGAAATGGCCATTGAAAAATGGAGGTTTAACATGATTCAACTGATCAATAAAATCATGCCACACATCCCAATGGGTTCATGGCATGTTTCACGGAAAGTCTGAAGGCCTGTCCAGCTGTCCAAGCACCGTAGAGTTTTTGACCCATTGAAAGTGGCCAAGTGGTACATTTACAGTCAATTGTTTCATGATGTTTTATGGATTTGTTTGGATGAATCCTATATGGGCCCTTTTTGTTGAGGATATTCAGCATTGCTTGGTGGTAGTTTGCAGCATGCCGGTCATATTTTGGTGAGATATGCTTGATATGAACGGGGAATTTTCTGTGTACAGACGATTAGCCAGGTAGCCATGAAAATCCGCGAGGGTTTATGAAGTTTATGCAACAGTAATGTAGGGATCAATTGGGTCAATCAGAAAACAACTGGGCATATGTGTTTGTCCGTTATTATCATATGTTAATTACTGAGCTTCATGATTCACACGGATGATGGTTTTCAAAGATTTTGAATGGTTTTTACCAACAAATGTTGGCATCCAAGACCGATGTTGAGTCAAAATTTTGAATATAGGGATATGTGTTTGAGTCAAAATTTTGTGACCCCCTACGTGGATGGTTAATAAGCGACAAGACAAGAATCCGTTAGTCAATTTGGCCAGTGTGGCCTTTTTTTTTGATCAATACTAATTAACAAGTTTGGAAAGGATGTGGGAATGCGGCAGCAAACCTCAACTTTGGATGATTCATATTGAAGATCACCATTTTTAATGGGTAAATCCACTATTTCTATGGCCATCATTTAGAAAATTGCCGGTTGATGCAACTGCCTGCGGTGCCTTCAAGAAGGTTGGGGGGATCAACCGACAAGACTGTGAATCCAGGAAATATGGTCAACTGATGCCCTCAGTATTGGCGAACATACACACACACTTGCATATATTAATATATATATATATAATGCAGTATACTGTAATAATATATTTAATATGTTTAAATGTATATAATCTGTATAGTACATGTGTAGAATCTTGTGATTGGGACCAAGAGTCTGGCCTAGCAAGGATGCTGGAAGCAGAGACCGAAGGACTGGAGGTTCTGCTGATTTCCTGTCGATCCTGCAGCCTTGTGTCGCCAATATATGCAGCTCCCGCTGTGTGGGATGCGGAAGCCAAGACCTTGCTAAAGCCGGCTGTGGTGCAGGATGGGCTACTTTTTCAGCACACCTGCGATGCAATGTATTTGGATGACGGTGACTGGATCTGGACAAATTCCGATGGATTTTCCATATCCCAGTCATATCTCAATGATATCCCTGTAAATCCCCGGGCAAAAATACGTTATCCATTAGTTGGATGACTTCGGCGGAGGATGTCCCGTTTTTTCTAACCATGAGCTATGGCGAGGTCGTGGCTGGCGTCGCTATAGTTTACCCTTCTCCTGGAGGGATTTTTGTAGCCATACAGATCTTTATGTTTCGCCTCAATTTGATAGGCAAACCCCAGATTTCTACCACGAAAAGTTTTCAACTTCAGCCAACTTAGCCGGGTAATTCAGCACAGGCATGGAACATGGTCATGTTTTATGCTTAAGTGACGTGTTAATTATAAATGGATTGTGTTACACAGCCATACGTTAAATTACCAGAGGGTAACTGCCAAACCATATAGGAGGTAAAACTATTGGGGACTATTGTCATCTATCAGGTGAAATCCTCTTATAAAGAAACAGGATTAATACATAGATTAACTATATGAAATGACCGATATATTCCATTAAATCTCACTATTTTCCCATCATCAACCATGATTTCCATTACTAACCGCTCTCAACCACTAGTTAACCAACCACTAGTAACCAACCTCAAGCACCATTAGGTGAAGTCTACGTCTTGTTGGTCGCTGCCCGGGAAAATCCTGATGAGCACTGGCTGGACCTCTGGCGCGGTGTGCCGGGCTCGTCCGTGCGACATTTCCCGCTGCCCAGTGACTGGCTGGATGGAGGGCGAGGGGACGCCCAGCTGACACCGGATGGAGAATTCGTGGTAGCTGGGACTTCTGAAAAAGGGGTCAAGACATTTGTTGTCTCCCCGGAATCTCTGTGTGATATGTATATATATACATATATCATGATTGACTGACCGACTAATTGATTGATTGGTTTGTTGGTGGGTTGGTTGGTTGGTTGGTTGGTTGATTGAATTGATTGATTGATTGATTGATTGATTTGATCGTTTTGATTGTTTTGATTTGTTTGACTGCTTGATGGATTGACTAGTTGATTGGTTGATTGATTGATTGATTGATTGATTGATTGGTTGGTTGGTTGATTGACTGCTGTTTTAAAGTAGTTGCAGTAATGATAATATTGATGATAATAATATTAAAACACATCCTAATGATATATAAGTTCAAAGTTAATCTCCAACTAATAATTTCAATATTAGTCATAATATTTTTCACGACAGTACTAAGGATACAATAATCGTAGTCATAACAGTGATAGTAATAATTTGATTATAATGATCATGATAATAACAGTATATAATGAATATTAATGATAATATGTATTTGGTGGATTTGACCCTGGGGACTCAACTACCTCCCCATGGCTGACCAGCAATGAGTTCGGGAACTTTTGAACCACCAAGAACCGGGAAGGGGTTATGAACAATCTGTTAGGTTCTACATACAGTGAAATCCCTTTACCAGTTGCAGTCATGGCCCTTAACAGCTATAACTGGGATTATAATGATATATATATATATATTTAAAAACTTAGTTATAGGAGTTTTAATCCCAGTTATAACCGTTAAGGGCCATAACCGTAGATTTGGTTAAAAAAGGCGTATCATTTCCTATGAGGTTACTAAATTGACTCGTAGCTGGTAGGCCATAACTGGAAAAATCACCTTTGGGCGGACAAGACCCGACGTGATACTAAAGTATTGGGAAAACATCAGACATGCACTAAGTCAAATCTGTTATTTTCTATTATACTTAGCCTCATATGTTCTTTTTTTATAAATAATATATATATATATATGTAGAACATTCCAATCTAACCGGCAAAATACATCTACAGACGATTTCACAAGGGGAAACATGTTAGTAACCTTTCCGGTTCTGGAATCTTCCTCCATGTCACATTCCAGTCGTCGTGCTTGTCGCGTCGCGGCCAGGTTGCTTGGGGCGGCATGGGAGAGACCTTGCTGTGGCGTGTCACGGGCGGAACGGCACATGTCACGGCGGATGGATCCGATTGGCCTGGCTGTCCTAGGGCGATGTCGGTGGACTACGCCATCTTTGACGGCTGGAACTGGATAGATTTGGGTTGTGTTACTGAGTTACTGGAATCTAATAGGATCTTAATGGGATATATATTTTCATGGAAAATGGGATTTTAATCCACTACAATCCACTTAATGGGATATACCCTCTGGTAATTTGTTACATGACTATGGAAAGATCCATCCATTCTCAATGGGGAAATCCACTATAAATAATCATGTTCAATAGCTATGTTTGTTTACCAGAGGGTAGATAACTGGGTTTGTGCAAATGGTGTTTCAAAATCTAGCCTGAAAAGGCTATGATCAAGTGTAGTATGATCAAGTGTGAAATCACTTTACCAGTTACAGTCATGCCCCAACGAACAGCTATAACTGGGATTATTTCATGATATATGTCACCTAAGATATAGGAGTTAGTTCATCCCAGTTATAACTATTAGTTGGGCCATAACTGTAGCCTCCGCAGTAAGATTTGGGTTTAGTATAATTACTGTAAGGAAACACTAGGTAAACTGGATAGATTTGGGTTTGTCTGAAAATGGATAAATGGATAAATGGATAAGGTATACCACCCAAGAATATCAATGCAAAGTTTACAGGAAACATATGATGATTTAATGGATATATGTATACATATTTGTGTGTTTATATGTGTATATCATATTTGTGTGTTCATATGTGTATATATAAATATAGATATCCTATTCTCAGACAGAAAAAAATCAGGGCAGGCTGTTGGAGATTTTCTACGCAGGTGGGCAAGGACGGCTTCAAGTGTGGGACTATCATCAAGGAGTGCCGAAGCATACCTTGGAGTTCCCGTTTGCGGGATTCTCGGGCATCGACATGCTGATTTCCCATTCTGGTGCCTATGTTGCCTTGTGGGCCTGCAACAAGGCGAGAAATCTGTTTATTTTTTTGAAGCTTTGAGGATAGGAAGCCAGAAGGGTTGCGGGTTGCCAACTGACAAGAGGATGTGATATGATGTGATTCAGTGAATGATGTGAACGACTTTTTTGGTTTTTGAATGGCATTTACTGAAGGATGTGAATGGCTGAACGGCTGACCTCTGGGTTTGTTGAGATGGTCATCTCTTATTTTTGGGAAATCCACCATGAATCACCATGACTCGGGAATCTACAGTCATGGCCCACCTAATTAATAGCTATAAGTGGGATGATTTCATGATTTATATTTCACCTAAGTTATAGGAGTTAGTTCATCCCAGTTACAACTGTTATAACTGTTAGTTAAGGGCCATAACCGTATGGAACCATATACCCTCCGGATCCCGCAATCAAACATGGCTGGAAAAATATCCCAGGTGAGCCCGATGAGTTTCCCATTTCAACACCATAGTAGATTTTCCAGCTAGCCATGTGACTGATTACCAGATGGTAAATCCGATTAAATCCTGTTTCCACTTGGTAATATATTACGACCATTTGTAAATAGTAATAGGATATTGAAATTTAGTAGAATTTATATCCATCAAATGCTATATTTATACCCATCAAATTCCATTCAACTACCATTTCCGGCAGAGTTCTTCATGCCAAATCTATGTGTTATTTTTTTGACTGTGCAAGTCTACGTCTCGGGAGGTGCTTGAAATTTTTGCCGACAACGGAGAGCGCGTGGGCGACGTTTCCCCGGCCTTCGGTTTTCATTTGAAGAATATGTCGCTGGGCGGCGGCATAGCTCCAGTGGGGTCATGGAATGTCATGGACACAGTGTGGTGGACACAATTCCCAGACTGCCTGATGTTTGTTTCTGGTTGGTGGTTTGGAACATGATTTTTAAATATTTTTATTTTGTCCATATATCGGGAATAATAATCCCAACTGATTAATATTTTTCAGATGGGTTGAAACCACCAACCAGATTTTGTTTCCATCGAAGATCATCGAATATCGAATATCTATCAGTCTATCCAGACGTGTCACTATGGATCCTTGTATGGACTGGACGAAGACGAAGTTATTTCATTTGGTCGCACCCAACGGAGAGAAAAAGCTCGGAACCCAACCTTGGATGGGTAGTTGGGCAGCATAGACGGCCGTGCGGTTTTATAGTTTTATTGGTTTTTAGGGACTGTTTTATCGTGGTCATGTTCACATGGGTAGGGTGGGGTGGAGCAATAACGTCACTTGCATTGGGTGGTCTACAGATGCTACGTTGATGACGGGTGGGGTGGAGTGGGGTGGGGTGGGGCAATAACGTCACTTGCATTGCCTAGCCCGCTATCACCACTTGTGCACGCTACGGATGCTACTCTGTCACCACTTGTGCATGCTGATGCTTCGCTGTCACCACTTTTGCACGCTACGGATGTACGGGTGTGCATTTTATTGTGTGTGTGTGTCACCATGTCATGAATAGATAAGAAGTATTGTTGTTACTATCAGCCTGTAGGTGGTAGGAAGGTGGACGCAAGTTTTAGATAGAAGCTGGCAAGGTTCGAAGGTTTTTTTGCCAAAGCACATGTGCATGAAGTGCAATGACAAAGGCCACAGCAAGATGCACCTGAATATTCTCAGTAAATATACATGTGGTCTTGGAGACAAAGTCTTGGAACACCCAAGCCAAAGGACTTTCTTGAGAAACTGGAAGAATTGCTGTGACCAAAAGAAACGTGTGAAAATGATGCTGGGCAAAAGTAGTTGCCTCAAATCAGAAAACCGTGAAAATAAATTCCTCTTTGTGGTAAAACTACATATTTTGCAATTTCTGCCTGTCACAACCGCTTTCAAAATCCCAAAACTTCACTGCATGTGAAAACCCATGTAACAGCCCACTTGACACACGAAATGCATTGAATCTTACAAAACAGCACGGCCGTCTATGCGCAGCTGTCCTGGTTTAATCCTTCAGTTTGTTGCCCTAAATGGAAATTCACCATAACCAACTTTAAGTTTGGTGGACTACCAAAGATTGACCATGCAAATGGCACCGGATGTTTTTTCTTTTAAGTATGGATGTTCAACGACAAAGTCCATGTGCAAATGGCTGCGTTTGGTCCGTAGGATCCGATAGGATCCGTCATTTTACTGTATTTGTAGATGGGGGATGGTGGGGGGAGTTTGACATCGTCCAAAATCTAAAATAAATTTGTTTACCATATCAGTGCCCCAATTATATAAACTGATTGTTAGTTTCAAATATTTATGATATTTATGGTTTTTCAACCATACAAAGGGAAAATTATTTGAGATGACGAGCATATGTTCACGGGTTAAACCACCAACCAGCAAACTGTTGTTTTTTTTTATGTGCGGCAATTACCCTCATTTTTCCAGAAACTCTGGTTGAGAACCCCGTTCGACACATCTGAGGGCCTTCTCACCCGATGAATCGGAGATCGCTCTGCAGTACCGAGAAGACCCTCTAAAACTGCGCGTCATTCGGAACTTCATCGCAACGGATCGTGTTTTGGTCCGAAGTTTCAGCCTGTTTTACCTGGTGTGCTTTGGAGGACTGGTCAGTTTTCTTTATGTCTCAAACATTCTCAAAGCATATGTTTTCATGTCTTAAATAGGGTTTTCTTTGTTTTCCTAAGTCATAGGGGTACCCCAAATCGTCCAAGTCATTAGATCATTTTAGTAATGAAAAATATTGAAACCCATGGTGACTTGGTACCACCACCATTGTAGGAACCCCTCAAAAAGATAATGGATTTCACTTCAACCTTTACTTCATGCTGATTTCTTGTGATCCAAAGACGAGGCTGTGAATTGATGATCACTACTAGCTTGAGGTCATGAACTGGTTGGTGGTTTGGAACATGTTTTAGTTTTCCATATATTGAGAATAAATATACTGTATACAACCCAACTGACTTTCACATGAGGTCATGAACCATCCATCTTAGGGAACACATCCCAAGATCACGTGAACAGCTCTCTGGATATAGCTGAAGCAACCACCAATGAAAAAGACCATGAATCACTCCACTTCGCTAACAACAACCATGATGTCCTTCGTTGGTTGCAACTAGGTGAATTATTAAAACACATTGTAACTCAGCCAGATTACCATAAATTGAGGCCATCAATTGATTTCAAAACCCCGGTTGGTTGGTGATTGTAGGGGTTATACTCTCGAAATCTATCCAGTCTACTGGGGATTATCATGAATTCTCAATCCTCATTGGCCACGTAGTATTTCATGGAATGACTCGTTTTGGGTTTTGCACATATCTCGCAATCAACAAAGTGAGGTCAGGAACTCATCGTAGTGCTGCACAGCGATTTTCCGCATTATTTCATCAAAGTGGACTACTCCGCAGACGGCCAGACCTTAGCCGTTCTACAAGCCTCTGGTGCTCTGCACCGATTCAAGCGACAATCATGGGACTCCTTGGATGACAGCTGGGAAGAGCTGCCATACATGCCTAAGCCAAGCGCCGAGGATGTGATGCGCTCGGGCGTTTGCCAGGCTGGCGATGCGGATTGGTTTAGTTTGCATGTCTAAAATAGTACAGTTATGGCCCTTAACAGTTATAAAATGTTATAACTGGGATTATAATGATAAATAACCTTACGTAGTTATAGGAGTTATAATCCCAGTTACAACTGTTAAAGGCCATAGCTGTAGAGAATAGTAGTAAATGGCGTTTGTTTTCGTATCTTTGGGTTTGCCGTAAAGTCTGGAAAACATTGCTGCACAAGGGATGCAAATTGTCGGATACAAGTCGTGTGTCTTCCTGTAGTAGGTTGCAACATGTTGCAACTAAAGAATACTAAAGGGACAAATGGTGGAAGTAGACTTGACATGACTTGACTAATTAGGAATTAAACAAAAAAACAAATATATTACATGTACTTGCCAGCTGAACACCTATGTAAATGGCCTCAAGTTGTATAAAAATCTTCCCTGACATTGTGCCATTGGTTGTAGCCGCTCCCTGACCAGGACTACAACACTTATTTCCGTTACACCAGAGATGGCTCAGTGGGATTGATGGATTTAGAGTCTGGACATTTGCTGCACTATTTGCCGATGTCAACAAGAACAGGTCTCACTGATGACGGGTATGCACGAGAAGCCTGATGCCACACGGGCTGTGTCTGTTTGAAATGGACAGATGGACAGATTGATTTGAATGTGCGAATGCCTGGTTGTTGGTTTCCAAGTCTAAACTTGGAAGTGCAGTTCCACTTATAAATCTTATACGTTAAGTTGGGTTTATCCCAACTTATGAGTAGTTAGAATATGTTAAAAGCTCATGGTGAAATCCATCAAAGTCTCCACTGCACCCTCAAGTTGAGTCACACTGCTTTGGACCTGTGCCCGTGCGGCGGTTCTCGGAGCTGAGAATGAACAAAACTGCTGGAGCTTGCACAGTTCAGGACTCCGCTTTTAAGATATTATTCACATTTAATGTTAATAGATGAGCAAACATTTTTGGGCTGTTGACTTGGGGTTGTACCATGTTAGTGGCAGAGTATTGCAGTCTACTGTAAATGATAGTTGTTGGGAGGGCTCCCCCTCGTTGACTAATCCGGCATTGACATTAACCATCCCATTAGCAAGAGACCCACTTTTCAGCTGGGGACCTAAGCCTCTTTGGAAAAAAAGGTGAGCTTTTCAAATCTTGGATCACAGAATTTTTACGAGATTTTCCTATTCTAGATGGTATTCAGTATTCAGCATCACTTTTAAGTGGTTCCATGATGTTTCACACCCTCTAAACTCCAAAAGTTTGTTCATTGGACATCATATCGTTATTATCATGGATAAACCCCCAGAACATCATATCATTGGAACATTATTGGACATTTTATGATTGTACTTAAGGGCCATCAGAAAAACTATTGTATAACCCCCCAGGCCTTCCACCTTGGTTTAGTCGACCAAAAAAGTGTTTCGCTGTTTCAGGGAGCCCAGCCAGGCAAAGCGGAAATCCAACTGTTGCGACATCACCCATTGGAAATGGTGATTTTCCATGGCATTCCATAGAGCTATACGCTGGAATCGCTGGATAGTCAGAAGACGTATGGAAACCACAGTACATCACAGTGGTTGCGAAATCCTAAAAACCAGTTGGGATTCCTATTGGTCACATAATTCAACATTGCAAATCATGGGATTCAAAAAAAATATGTTTACCATCTACCAACTGGTGGCTTTCGCATCCACGGTCTGTAGATCATACTGTTACATATTTGTTTCCCATATTTTCCGGACATTTCCGAACATTTCCCACATTTCTCCGTGTTTTCCTATTTTGTTCCCAGGGAAACACCCGAACCGCGAGCCGCCACGAGTTCTTTCGCAGGCGCCGAGACGGCAGAGCAAGCTGCTGAGCTGCGGGATGCAGTGCTTTGGCATAATTGTGTTGTGATTTTTGTTTCTCAGAAACCTTTGACAATTTTTGCGAGCATTTTTGCGGAAAGGCCTGTTGTGAGCGGTGAATTTCAAGCTTTTGGGGTAGACATTCAATGAAGAAATCCACGTACACACAACAATTCCTTCCATATGTAGGGTCAAACAGTCCGTTCTGACTGTCGGCTACCACACGTCTCTTCACAAAACCCATGTGTTTGGCACTGCAACACTATGTTCTGTCTCACTTCCACTTAAGATTAAACATGATTAATAATGGTTAACCCAAACCAAAAAAACACAAAGAAACAATGTTTCCACAACTACTCTGACCTCTGGACTAGTTGCCATTTTTTATATTTTGTTTTTTTTGTTGTTTTTTTGTTTTCTCGAGGTTTTGGTCTGACCCTAATTAATCTGGGTTAATCATTGTTAATCCTGATAAATCCAGATCAAAACCTTCTACTTCATGACTCCGGCACTTAGTTCCGGCCTTCTTTTCCCCAAATTGGGATAAAATCAGATGCTCAGAGAACAATTTTGTATTTCATCTAGCTTTCTGAAGGGCTTGGCACAAACCAAAAAATGCTGCAACAATTGAAACAAAATAAGGAAAAAATAAGCAACAAAGTGCACTTAGGATATGGGTTCAGCATTTTTTGCAACAATCACCCAACATCTATGAATCCAAGTTGTATTTTTTTAAGAACGTGATTTTCCATAAAGAGAGTGCGGCCTGACTTTGTGCATTCCCTTTGAAGTACTGCAATTTCTGTTTGAAAAGGGTGCAGTAATATCTTGAAAAAGACCAACAAATACAGGATTGCATAGAAAGCATGGAGCCTTCTGCTGACAGGTTCCAACACCAGGATTTCAAATTCAGTTTCATTTATATATGCAGTGATCTGTTCTAGCGATCATGGCATTATTTGAAGAGAACTTGTCTTAACTATCTGGAATATGTCCCTTCAGGAAAATGCATCATCTCTTTGGAAAAGGTGCAATATTCCCTTGAACATGAAACCCTCATTTCAAATTTCAAGATGGGGTTCTTTTGTGTATATACTGGTCCTTTTATCAAGGGTCCCTTTATCAAAGGAGTATGGTATTTCTTGAAGAATGTGTAAAACATTTTCTTTGTTCTTCAAATAATACAACCTCGCTGAGTGAGATACAATATTATCTTAAGATAATGGCACTTTATTCCAAAATGTAATCCTTTTGCATATGTAGCACTCTTTCTGAAATGATATGTTCAGCCATTATTTTGGGGAGTACCCTCTGCAAAATGATGGACACAATTGACTAAGAAAAATGCACAATTCTTTCATACAGTATCAGATAAAAGAAAAAATTCCTTTAGAGAAAGAGCTGGTCTTAAGAATACAACAAACAAGGAAGACTGAACCTTTCCAATACGAATACTACATGCGTCAAGAAAATCATTTTCTATTTTTGCTGGAACATGGCTTCTTTGATCCAAAGAATGCCATATTGTTTTTTAGAAAAAATGCCATTTGTAAGCAATATAGTCATCCTTACAGGAATTTCAGGGAATATTGTGTTGATGTATTGCACTTTTTGACATAGATTCTGCATACTAAAACAGTGGCTACAAGTTAAACAGCACGCTACATGTGCAGGATTATTACCTATCATTTCGAAGAAAGGTGCCCTTTTTCCAAAGGAATGCTGCATCTTTTAAAGGATTCCTCCATAAATTGTAGGGGTATTGCTTGTTGAAAAAAACGCTTAATTTGCTCAAAGGAAAATTGCAAAAGAATGACAAATGCTTCTCTGCAAGCAGGAGAGGCTTCATTGTTGCATTTAATTTTTTATTTAGAACATGAATGCAATATATTAAATTCATGCTACATGAAAACCAGCATTTTTGAGAAACAATATGTGATATTTTGCAAGGGATAGTGGAAAGGTTCATGCAACTATATCAATGGTATTACGGTGCAAATATATTTCGATATATTTATTCCTGAATTGTGTGTATTTAGAATGATTCCTTGCCCTTATTGAATGCAACATCATTCACAAGGTGACTCTTAAACAAAAAAAAAATGTCTTTGCACGGGGATTGCATGGAACTAGATTACATCCAAGAGCTTCTTAATAAACACCTGACCTTCTGGTTTGTTGCCATTTTATTTTACATAGTTGGGTGGAAAGTATGTGCTTAATAGTGCAATCTGTTCATATCTGGATTAATTTTATGTAGGAATTGCAAACAAATGCCATTTCCTGCCGCTCATAACAGACCCCTCCCTTGTTTTGAAAACCTTTGAACACATCTCTAGATTGTTGAGAAGGCAGCATTTTGGAGACATTTTTGTTGGTCAAATCCACAACCCAACTGAGTTGTTTTCCTCTGGATCAGCGGCTGAGGCTTTGGAGGGTATCTACCATCGCTTGGTGCACCTGGTGGTCGGCTTGGTCACTGACAAGATGCAGGGTGAGGCGAAGGCGCAGCTGCTTGGGATCTCTTAAAATTGTTAAGATGTTAAGGGGTCATAAACAGACATGAAGGATTTCAGATAGATTAAATCATCATATCAGATTTCTGAATATGGGGACATATAGTGGGAATCTATCATCTAACAGTTCCAACATTACATACCGGTTGAATATGCACTCTTTCAACATCTTTAAGCCATCAAATGCTTGCGGGCTTCAGCTGACAACGACAAGACTTGACCCTTACGCTCAGCGATCATCGACGTCAGGCCATCAGTCAAAGCATCTCCATCTTGGAATTTCCCTCCGTTGATCCAACCGCACCTTGGAAGTCGACGCGTGACATCGCGTGACCCAGTGACCCCGCCCCAACATGAGCCATGAAAAAGAAACATACCTTGGTTACCTTGGTTGAGTAATTTGGGAAGCAGTTAACTACTTCTACGAGTTGGGTATTGTTGGTTATGCTATTACAATGAGATGGGATATGAATGGATATGATGCGATGGTATTTTTAGTGGCTCGCATGAAGAACAAATGATGACTTCACAGCTATAATGGACATGTAAATTAGGAGTTGATCTCTTGGATGGGACAGATGTTCAAATCAACATTTTCGTGTGATTGGCAAAACCAAAAACTATACCATGTCGACATCTATATAGACTATACATTGCATTTAAATCCATGATGTTTCCACGAAATCCATTGTTCTTTGGTGATGAAAACCAAATTTTTGGGCGGTTCAATCAGGGATTTCCCATATGCTTCGTGTCCTGAGGCTCCACCGGGCTTCCACGGGCTTCTCTTACAGGGCCTGTCGGAGGCGCGGTTTAGCACGACGACCGGAGCGTGGCCGCGTGGCCGTGAAATGATGGTTTGGCAACCTCCAAAAAGATACAAAAACTATGAAGAGGGTCGATCTATCATTATATATACAGTACTTTTGGGATCTATTAGGATTTAGTTTTTTGTTTTTGTTTCAAATATGCTTTTGACGTTTCTATATAGCTCTTAGCTTCCATGGGCCGGACCCTTACGAATTGGCGTTGCTTCTGATTCCTTGCTCTCCGATACCTCTTCAGAATATTTTAGAATGATTAAGCCCGACATATTGGATGTGATTTATTTTTGCAGCCCATCACGTTGGATGTTTTTGTATTCAAACGCGCGGTGCACAGCAACATGTTGCTGACAAAAAAGGAGGCTATACGGCTACACGACAGAACAATTTGAGCTTGTCCAAGAATGGGGCACCTCTACCAATTTAATCTAGTGGCTTAAAAACATCTAAGCAACTGCTTATAGTACCCTTAACAATCCCTGTTTAATTGTTAGAAACCATATACAACCATCATATTTCTCAATTTAGATGATTATTCAAAACCCAAGCATCTTAGGCAAAAGTTGCCTTTTTCGGTGGCTGTTGAGGCCCGCTTCGGCCGCATCTTACATGCTGCACGCCCCGCTGGAGCCAGTGGGGTTCCTGGGGGGCATGGGAGCAGTGCTACATTAATAAACCCCGGTTGGTTGATGATGATATGGGATAATAGTGGTTGATAACGGTTCATACTGGTGAAAAATGGTGAATTATGGTACATGGGGATACTCCCGAATCATCTAAGTCATGACCATTACTTCGTATAGGTTAACAAGCCTGGTGACGACTAGGGATCCTCCATTTCAAGAGACTCCATGGTTGTTCAGAGGTGCTCCTCATGTGGGATTCATGCGACTGCCAACGAGGTAAACTCCGGGACAGCTCGGATGATCAGGCGCAGACAGAGCTCGTTAATTTGGTTCTAACTGGATTCAAGGTAATTAAATTTAAGTAGTTGATGGGATGTTATATCATGTTATATCTTTAGGCGGTGGATTCTACGGTTTCTGGATGTACAGAAGGTAGATATATCGGCGAAGTTGGAAGCCATGGTCCGGTTAGCTATGGTGTGTTATGTTAAATTACAAGAGCTTATTGATATTCACAACCACATATTTGGGAGATTTTTCACCACATAACATGACTACTGGAAAGCAATGGATTGAATAGATTTATGTCGTGTGAAGGGAACATCTATAGTTGAACTCATGGTTTGCCAAAGCAAAGTGTGTGTTTCTTTTTTCTCTGTAAACTTCCCAGCTGTGGACACATTGACCAACATTGACCAACATTGGATGGACCAAATGGTGCCCTATACTGTAGTTTCAAGCTTGGGAGGCAAGGATGGCTGTAAGCCATTCTGTGTGTGTGTGTGTCATTCTAGTATGACATGTGGATAGATAAACATATTGAAATATAGAGAATTTTAGAAAGATAGAAAAACATATGAAAAACCGATAGCCGATAGATGAATATATATATATATAATTTATATAATATATATATATATTATTTTAAATAACGCTAAATAAACATATAGGTTCAGACCATCATAAACACTCCCCTCCCACAAAAACCCAGCGAGGCGCGTGCCGCGGAAGATCTGTGCGAAGAGTTGATGAAGGCCTGCGAGAGCCACGATGCGGACGTTGCCTGGCGAGACGACGGGCGACTGGCGGCGGCTGCATAGATAGCCAAGTTAGACCCCAGGGAATCACCAGTGAATCACCACTGAATCACCATTGCTGGTTGATGGTTTCGAACATGGCTTTTTTGACTTTCCATATATATTCGGAATTTCATAACCCCAACAGACGAACTCATATTTTTTCAGAGGGGTAGGTATACCACCAACCAGCTTGTTTAGGATTGATGAGAGGAATATAACGAACTAGTTTTCATGGGTGTATAAAGCAAGACATCATTGGGGCCTCACCTTATAATAATACTCCTGATTCAAAGAATTTCGATATTTGGAAAATCAAAGAAGGGGATGATGTAAAATGATATGGGCCACCATTTTGCCCTGTCCACCTCCGTGGCACCCTGCATGCGGGATACCTGATATCTTGCGAGGTGAGCAAGAAAGGTCTCTGACCTGGATACCTGATGTTACTGACCTATGGGCAAGGACAATCTTTGCACAGGATACCTGATGTCTTGACTTTTTTGAGCAAGGACACCCTTTGACAGTGTAGCGCAGACTTGCTCGCATCAACGGCTGTCGCCAAAATGACGCTGGTTTCAGAGAGACACTTGCCCCCAGTCATGGTTGGTTAATGGGATGGTTTATTAATTATTGGATTTACCACATTTTATGGTAATTTCATAAAATTATAATTTTCCTATTCTCAGTGCCCTCGTTGTGGGATGACGCTGCAATGTTCACCGCTTTTCTAAAACGATCCAAATCGAACCAAATCGCCCACGATGGCCCATTTGTTTCCCCCAAATCTGGACCAACAGCCACATAGTCTCACCCGCCACACACTGTCATTTCACCCAGTTGTATATGCATTATGTTTGGTATTACAAAGGGCCTAGAAACCTTACTACAAGGTGAAGCCCCATAGTGAAGTTGGTCTGTAAAGCCATGATCTGCATCAACGTTAGCTATCGTAAACGGCAAGGCTCACCTTGTACCTGGTAAGCTCTGATGATAAAATGCTGGTTAAGCCAGGTATGGATTAGTTTGGGGGTTATAATGGGTGATAACACATAGCTATATATATATAGTATAAAGCTATATAGTATATACAGTAGTTACAAGATGTTGTGATATGTTCTAAGCAATATTAGTTTAAAACATACGTTTAGTTTAGTGTTTGTAGTCATGGGTTTAAACCACGTGGGATGCCGATGGCATCGCCGAGGTCGGCCAAGTCAAAGCTTGGGCGCAGGCGTTGATGTGGCTGGGACAATGGTTATATGGGGCTTATATGGGGATAATAAATCTTAAACTCCAAGAAGAATTGGATTGGATATGGTTAATAGTGGTTTAATAGTGGTTTAATAGCGGTTTAATAGTGGTTTAGTGTTTTTCTCATTGTTTTTAATACCCGTTGCTAGCTCCCAGCTGAGATCTAGGAGCTCCAGCCCCTGGGGTGCATGGCTATTTTTCCCCACCTGCCAGGTGAGGGTTGTTAGATTTTATGTCAGTTGCTTCCTCCTCGTCCTCCTCGTCCTCGTCCTCCTCCTTCTCCTCCCTCTTCTCGTCCTCCTTCTCCTCCTCCTCCTCGTCCTCCTCGTCCTCCTCCTGCTCCACTGCGATCCATGTCAGTGTGCCCTGCCGGACCTCAACCACGACCATCCACGTCAGTGGGCCCTGCCGGACCTCAACCACGACCATCCACGCCCAGTGTTCCCTGCCGGACCTCAACCACGACCATCCACGCCCAATGTTCCCTGCCGGACCTCAACCACGACCATCCTCGCCCAGTGTTCCCTGCCGGACCTCAACCACGACCATCCACGCCCAGGGTTCCCTGCCGGACCTCAACCGCGAGTATCCACGCCAAGTGTTCCCTGCCGGACCTCATGTAGGAAGATATGGGACAAAGAATGTGCAGAAGAAAGTTAGAAAGAATGCCAGAAAGAATGTCAGAAGATATGCCAGAAGATATGCCAGATAGAATGCCAAATAGAATGCCAGATAGAATGCCAGAAGATATGTCAGAATATATGCCAGAAGATATGCCAGATAGAATGCCAGATAGAATGCCAGAAGATATGTCAGATAGAGTGCCAGAAGATATGCCAGATAGAATGGCAGAAGATATTGCCAGATAGAATGCCAGAAGATTTGCCAGAAGATATGCCAGAACATATGCCAGAAGATATGCCAGATAGAATGCCAGAATAGAATGTCAGAAGATATGTCAGATAGAATGCCAGAAGATTTGCCAGTAAGAAAATGTATAAATGTCATGGTGGGGATCACACGAAGTAAAGTAATTTTTTGAGCCTTAGTAAAAATGACGATAGGTCCCTTGATTTTATCTGCAGACATGCTAGATTTTATCTCGATCATAAGTGTGAGATAAATTCTAAGAGGCTGGACCCCCCTAGGTCCCCTCAAGGGTACTCGCTTCCAAGGAGGACCCATGGGGGGGGTCCAGCCCCTTGGATTTTATCTCACTCCAATTTCAGGTCAGGCACCTTGATTTTATCTTTGGAAGGTTGGGCTCATTGAATTTTATTTTCATCCTACTTGAGATTTGGTACCTATCTTATATTTTCAAAGGTTCAGCCCCTTGATTTTAGCTCCAACCTACTTTGATTGCAGTTCCAACGAGATTTAGGAGCTCCAGCCCCTGAGGTGCAGAATATATGTTTTAGTTTTTTGAGTAAATTTGAAGGTTGGGCCCCAGATTTTAGCAGCACACTTGCTAGATTTTATCGTGGCCCTATGTGTGAGATAAATTCCAAGGGCTCCGACCCCCCAGGGCCCCCCCAGGGCCCCTCAAGGGCATTCGATTCCAAAGAGGATTCAAGAGGGGCGAGACCCTTGGATTTTATCTGATCCCAGCTTGAGGTTAGGCCTTTTGATGTTATGAAGGTTTGGCCTTTGAATTTTGTTTTTATCTTCCTTGAGAATGGTATCTATTTTTATTTTCAGATGCCAGCCCCCTTCAGTTTAGGTCCAACCTACACCTTGGATTGGAAAGGGGAAAAAACAACCTTGATTGATGAATTCCACTGCAAAACTGGCATCAAACTGTAACAAAGGTGCATGAAATTATTGTGTTGAGCATTGCTGGCATGTTTATCAAACTCACCGTTACAAATTTCCTCACCTTGAAACTTTATTGTTTTTGAACTTTGAGCTGAAAATATTGAATTTGACCCAAACAAAAAGGCTGCCAAATCCTGTGCTTCTTCTGTTCCCGGATAGCTGCTTCGACCTAGCGGGGCGAAGCTTGAAGGAAAAAAAACAAGAAGAAGTAAAATCCATGTTCCCAACCTTGATAGATGAACCCCTCTGCAAAACAGGCATCAACCAAAGGTGCACATTTTTTTTCTTGGGAAACGTGTGGCATGTTTATCAGCTTTCGCGCCACGGAAACCCTGTCAATATTATCTCTTTTGAACGTCATTCTTTGTTTAACTTTCACATCAAGGACAAATATTGAAATTGATCTCAAAAAGCACGCAACCAAATCCTGGATACCAGCATCTCACCCTGTCCATCTTCAGTTCCAGCAAATAAAACCTGTGTGCCCAACCTTGAGATATCAACCTCTCTGCAAAATTGGCGTCAAAAAACTTGCACTAATGTTTATTTACTTGGGACAGTTCTGAAATGTTCACCTTTATCATATTTGTTAAAAGTAAATCCAGAACAAAGTCTCCTGCAGATCAAGGTCACACTGAAATTGATTCCAAAAAAGGCTACCAAATCCTGGAAACTAACACCTCGCCTTGTCCAATCTTTGCCCTTGAAACTTGGAGGGGAAGCCTGAAAATAACATCTGTACCCGCTAACCTTGATGAAGATAGTTATGACATGTTTATCAACTTTATCTCCGTTGAAAACCTTTCAAAGTGGCCAGCTTATCTGAGGCATGCAGAAAAAATCGATGCCTAAAATCCAGAAGGTCCATGGTTTCATAAGATTCACAGATAAAACATGTATGTCCTAAATATTCACAACATGCCCAAAATATTTTGAGGGGCCTGACCTTTGATAATTTTTGAACGTCCAAAATGCTCCAAAGTATTGGTTCCCTTGTCCAAGTTGAGTGTTAGCAAAAATGTTTGGTTTACGAATGCTAGACTTGGGCCCCTAGATTTTATCCATTCAGAAATGCTCAAAAGGGGTATGGGGGGGTCAGGCCCCTCTGGAAAACAGTCACTGGGGTCTACTATTTCAGGGGCTGGACCCCCCCTAGGAGCAACCAAGGGGTATGTTTTTATAGTGGCATTTGAACGTTTCCGACTGGCTCGGAATACCCCCATAGGCCATAGGTGGATGGTCTATATATATATATATATATGGAAAGTCCCCCCCAAAAAAGGATTGGGGGTACCCCCATTTCAGGAAACCTCATAGAAAGCAACAATGAAAGCAACAATAAGTGGGATATCAATAAGAGTATGGGGGCAAGGAGATATATCACAATGATCAACAACAATAAAGGCAACAATAAATTGGTAAATAGGGATACTGATGGTATAATTTAATCAAATTTTATAACCAACTTTATGATGAATTTTGTCATGACTTCACGTGGTGACGGAATTCTGCAATGAGGGGAATTGGATTGGGGGAATCATTCCCACATGTCCTTATTATAACAGCTGTTTTCACGTGAGTGAATATTCTAATTCAGCAAGATGGCTTTGCCCATGTTTAAATGAAGATCTGACCATCCAAAATGTGAAAAATAGTTGAAATGTAGAACAACCTTAAATGACCATGGAACCGTCGATAACTGCCCAAAAATCAGGGACTTATTGTTTGCCAACGTCAGCAGCTATGGGGGAGTTCAACACTCGGCACGTTCTAGGGAGTTGATGCACACCTAAGACAGTGAGCCAGCACAAAGGTTGCCCTCTCCAGTTACAAGTTGATTTATAATTTAATTCTACTATAGATATACTGTCTACCTCAAGCATAGTTGAGTTACTTATAAACCAAGTTAGCTATTTTAGGGATGGTGCTTCTTGTGGCTTTCAAACACTGCTACGGTACGGTGGTAAGAATCACCGTGTTCTCCCGAACAACAAGAATCCTGTTCTGCATTTATGGACAGGTCTACGATCTACCCGGTATGGTAAACGTTTACATAGCTATGGAAAATCACTATGTTTGGTAGCTAAATCAACGAACTAAATTGCCATTTTCAATAGCAAACTCTTAAATTACCAGAAGCTAGTCTCCATCCATATCACCATTTTTCTTGCTTAGAGCCTTACTCACCATAAATTCCTTATGAATCACCATAAATTCGGCAACTCAGAACTGAGGGATACTGTGGATGGAAGAAATTTTGATAAACCGCCAGTTGATAGGTGGTTTATCCCATAATTTATACAGGATGGCCCCCCCCCCAGTTATAAGTGGGTTTATAAACCATTATAACCCCTATTAACTATAGTTATATCTACCATAGAGCCACTTATAAGGCAACTTAGCTATCTTGGGGGCCCCATCCTGTAGGGTTTGCAGGGTTTCTTCCATCCACTGTAGCACCACCTTTTCCAATCCTCAACGGATTGTTGCCAGGCCAAGAGTCAGGCGGAAGGCTTGATGCACGTGAGCGGCGACAGCGTGACCATCAGCCACTGGCCATTGTTCGGCTGGGGGTGAAGTATGATCTTTTATGGGTTTTATATGGGACAATCACCTATACTCATGCAGGGTTTTTATATAATGGAAAAATGTCCTTTGGTGTCATTTGGTTGGTCTCTTGAAATCTATCTTTTATATAATATATGATATGTGTATATATATATATATCATACGGGTTTAAGTCCATTTATTTTGGCTGATTCATGTTCGGATCCACATAGTCCACTGAACCAGGGGGAAGCTGCATGGTTTGTTTCAAGCTGACCAACTTGATGGGCTATGTAAAATGAGCATCATTTAAGGTTCATGATGACATACGTATATCGTGTATGCAGGGATAATATATATATATATATATGATGATGATGATGATGATGGTGGTGGTGGTGGTGATGATGCTGATGATGATGATGATGATGATGCATGTATCGATTATATATATATATGTATATACGTACAGACTATCCCTACCACGTTTCTTTTCTCAGCAGGGTTGAAACCATCTGGTACATATGCATGTGTTCCTTCATTTGGCTTCTAAGTAGGTTTAAAAAGAACTGTTCTAAGAGCCCCCGTTCAAAGACACCCATCTGGGCATATAAAAGATGTAACAGTCATTGGTTGGTTCCCATTTATCATTGGGTTATTTGTACCATTTTAAAACACATTTCCCACAATTTTTTCATAGTGCTCCCAAAACTAAACCATTGAATCTACCAATATTGTATTTCCATAAAAACACAGAAACATATATTTATGCACACATATAAATAGATATTCCCACCTACTAAACGACTCCAGGTACTACCAGTGAGGTGGGGCCTCAGGGGCTGTGCAGCATGTGCTCAACCAGCGCCACTCGGTGGGTTGGTGGCGGAGCCCCCCTGAGTTTTTTCGGGGCTTGGTGAAATGTTACCCTCTGGTCATGGATTTTATAGAATTATATGGGTGATCAAATGGGATTTGATAAGATTTTATGATACTTAATTGGAACATATTGGAAACTATGGAACATCACCGGTTTTCAATAGGTAAATCATCCATGGATGACTTTCCATAGCTATGTTAACTTAAGAATAGATTTTGAACTCTGGTCATCCTGGCAATGGGCAGTCTCCCATTTAGAGACGATTTTTTAGCTAGAAACCAGCCCATTTCTAGCTTCAGTGTTTGATTGGAATGCCTTGAACATGCACAAGAATAGAACATAAAAGATCAATGAACATCATGTTGTTCCATGGAATCTGTAGTGAAACACTGGCCAATCAAGATTTATCTTGTGAATCGACATGTTCCATGCACGAATGCCTGTTCTTATTTTGTTTTATTATTATTCTACTGTACTACTGCAAAATGTAAAACGAACATATCAGTTCACTTGTTAACTGAATGAATGGCAGGAGAGAGATTGCCCACGTCAACGTGGGAAAGCAATGGTCCTTGATGGTCCTTAATTACATAGTAGATCATAGTAGTAATTATTTAATTATTAAATTATTATTTACAGTATTTAATAGTATCATATATGTATATATATATGTGGCAGGGACCTTTGGGGTCTATTTCGTTCCTCCTCGCACAAACGTAATCAAACGTCATTCTATATGCATATATACTATATACACAAGTAAATATGTCTACATGTGTGTACAAGTTCAACAGAAAGTCGCAATTTTTTCCCTTGCCCCTCAACCTGCGCAGCGTCCGTTTTCTGCTCCAAGAGATGCTGTCACCAGCACGCGCGAACGCACGCCAATTTGAACTCTGGGCAGAAGAGTCCTCCAGTGTCAATTGTGTTGCTTTCCATCCCTGCAAGCTACAAAGTTTTGGAACATGCAAGTTTGGGACTCTTGTGCGCTCATGCATGGGAATGTTTTGGTTGTCAGGAGTTTGTAGTTGCAGTTGCAATCTTAGTATTAAGCATAGTTTTATAGAAAAAACCTTAAAGGAACCTCATGGGCATGTAACACAAGCAACAAAGCAATGCAAACATGTTCCACCACTTCCACCTGTAGTGATGAAGAGGGAGGGTGATGGCGGCCAACCCCCTTCATTTTGTCATACTCATCACTTCATTGTTTTTGGCCCCGCTGTCGTCCCCTCTCAGGATCCTTTGAATGAAGAAGAGTTGCAAAAGCAGACCTTGGACCTCTTGGTGAACTTTGCATACAGGCTGCAGATGGATGGCCTGATGCCTGACCTGCCAGAACAGCCACCAGGTGAGCCCAGTAGTGGATCTGGTTTTCTGCGAGAAGTGGAAGGTTCTAAACCAAACACCCAGGTGCACCACTACTTGAAGCTTCTATGGCAATGGCACCTGGCCCAAGTCCAGGTATCTGCGCGTCTTCACCAGCCAGTGCAACTACGGTTTTGCCAGTTCAACCTGATGTTGGTTTGTTGGCACCTGCCACTCCTGAAGTACCCCCTCTGAGGCTTCAGCAGCATGCATCCCCAAAGAACTACCTGGTCCAGTTCCAGAAGCAATGGGGGAGGTTGACCTGTACTCCTGACCAGGTGAAGAAGCTTCTTTATTGCACCAAACAAAAAGGCTCTCAAGCTTCGACTGGGCCGTCCTCTACTCAAGATGTATCTGATAGGAAATTCATACATTTTCTCAAGCATCATATGTTTCTATGGTTTTGCTTTCTGTGTGGGATTCAAGTTTCTTGATCTATGCATTTAGTATTGTTCATTCTCAGGTACCAGAGTTCGTGCCTCCTCGAGGAACTTCTAGTGGAGGTTGGTTCAGGAAAGTTTCTGGGCTAGTAGTTGCTTGGAAGCTTGGAGAAGCGCACAGGATGAGATGCCTACTATAACGATGGGAAGAGGTTTCACGGGTGAAGGCGTATGTGGCAGCTTTGGTGGGCTACGTCAAAAAGTGTGGATGGCAAAAGAACTTGGAGGGTGAGTATGGCTTGAACACTTGTACTCGCCTAAGATCTTACTGACTCCAGCAAAGCCTGGGTGGTTAAAAAAAACCTTATATCAAACTATCAAACAGTAAGAATTTCAATTCTGTTTCTAAATTGAAAATAAAGCAGTCGCAATTTTCAATTCGGAAATCGAAATTGAAAATCCAACAGTCACCATTTCAATTCAGAAATTTAAATTGAAAATCAAACAGTCGCCATTTAAATTCAGAAATCTAATAGAAAATCAAACATTCACCATTTCAATCAGAAATCTACCTTGAAAATCAAACGATCACCATTTCAATTCAGAATTCCAAATTGAAAATCAAACAATCTCCATGTCAATTCAGAAATCTAAATTGGAAAACAAACAGTTGGCATTTCAATTCAGAACCTTAACTTGAACCTACAATAGTATATTGTTTACTTTTCAGATTTTGATATTAATTTGGTTTACTATTTGGCACAACTATCAAAAAAATAATGTAGTTTTTACATAAGCAGCCTTTAGGGCTTTCATTTTTTTAGCCAAAAAGCACATTGATGCTTTCATTTTTTGAAGCTGTCACAAGTATAGCACATTGATGCTTCAGGTTTTGGTGTTCCATTAGTGCATCAGACATGTGTCCTTTGCATTTTTCTTGTCAAGGTGTAAGCTGTCAGGATGTCCAGTAATAGGGGTCAGGCACGGGGTTCAGCCACTGATCCAATGGTATCTCGACAGTTTCAAACCTGGACCTCATCCAATGGATGGAAGAGCCTCTGGTATGTCGAGATTCATCAATCAGGTTTTGATTCTTGGTTACCAGGTTGAAATTCATCATGTTTTTAAAGCATACGGGAACTCAGGTAGTATGAGGATAGACGTAAACAAATTGCTCGCTTGCTCAGGCAGGATGCTCTTGAGCACTTCAAGCAGAATGAAGGCCCACATCTTTTGCCTGCCAGCCTGAAGAACTTGATCAAAATCAGTTACATGTTGGCTGGGGTCCCTGTTCCTTCTGGCGATGCTATCTGCGCCTGATAGCTGCAGCTGTATGCCCATAGTGCATGGAAAGCCTGGATGAAAACATACTTGGGTGGAATCAAAATACTGTGGGGGGAGAAAAAATATTTTAAAAAAACACCATGTGGTGTACTTGTTTTTTCTGGCCCAGTGGCCTTTCCTGCTATTTTGAAACTATTGTGGTTTATGCCCAAGGGGCTTTCATGTAAAGGTCCAGGGTTGGGTATGAGAGCCCACTGAAGTTTATATGCTTCTAACCTTAAAGGGTCCCAGAACCCATTCCCACCGACTCTTGCTACAGGTTTTGCTGATAGGGCTTTCATTTTATTTTGTAAACTAAATTGTTTCTGCCCAAAGGGGCTTTCATGTAAAGGCTTAAACTCCTTTATCCCATGCCCAAAGGAGCTGTCATAATTCTAACTTTGAAGGTTAGCAGAATCAATTCTCTTCTGCTTCTGCTGCAGTGGGCCCATAGGAATTGTGGGCTCACCTTAGCCTAGATCCTTTGATCACCATGGCTACTTGGGACGTTGAGGACTTAGTCAAGGAGATTAGTGATATGGAAGCGATTTACCAAAGGAACGCTGGTTCACAGCTGGTGCCACGAATGCAGGAAGCTTTGCAGTCCAAAGTGAATGGTGTCCAAATGCTCGCTGCTTCTAACTTCTTGAAGCGTCCTGATGCTGTTCAAAATGGCATCTTGACTGCTGACACGAAGGCAGAGTTGCAAGCATTTCTCGAATCAAGGGCAGCCTCTTCAATCCAAGGGGCCACCAGGTTGCAGGCTACACCTCAAAGCATGACCACGCCTTGGAACTACCTGTCCCAAAGCGAATGGCAGCAGATGCAGAATGGCATCAACACAGTTGATGCTACCCACATGCTGATCAAAAGAATCAAAGTGTGTGGGTTGAAAAGCCTCAAAGAAGACACCAAGAAGTACTTGACATCCTTTTTGGTCAGCCTTCAGGTGAAATCACCAATGTCTTGCCTCCAGTTTTTGACATGTACAAATTTTGTGCTGGATACGTTCGAGGCTGTGGTGGCTCAACCTCTGCATGCTGGTTTGGCAAGGTACCCACCTAGCCCCCACGACATTGGGGAGGCACTGGGTTTGTAGAATCTTTGGTGATGGCTGCTTTCAAGCTGATAATTTTGAAGTCAAAATTTAGCCATGACATAATCCCTGAACACACACACATGGACACGTATACATATTTCCATTTGAACATAAACACTTGCAGGCTTTCTGCTTGCTCGCTACCAGTCATATGATAAACCTTGGAAGCATTGCCAAGAAAGTCACGGTGAGCGGAACTGCCAAGGAACTCAGGGCTGTGGCCACTCCACAGGCAACCTCTCAGCAGTTGCCAGCAGAGCCTTCGACAGGGAAAGATCCTACAAACAGTATGGTGACCACCCATCTCTTTGACATGATGGAGAAACAGGCCAGAGCTTTGGATGCCTTGAGCCAGAAAATCTTGAACAATGATAGCTTGGAGAAGCCTCCTTCCAGCAACTCCTTGCTCTCAGATGGGGCCGGCCCAAGGGACTCCTGACTCCCAAAGCTTTGCCGGCAGTTCCAGCTGTTTTGCCTCTACCTGCACCTTCTGACTGTGCTGCACCTGCTGGAGGAAATGATGGCACCCAGGCAAAAGCCTTGAGGATTATGAAGCTGAGGCCAAACACATGCTCACCAAGAGGAAGGGCAATGATTTGGATACTGCCATGAAGAGGCCAGCTTCTAAGAAAACCCTAGCCAAAGCAGAGCCCAAGCAAAAGGCCATTGTGAAGAAGAATGCTGAGGAAGCAAAGCATGTCACACCAGCTTTCCTCAAAGGAATCTATGGATGTGTGAGATGCCGTGGCAGTGTGAGTGGCTGTGACAAGTGCCAGTCTCCCTACTTTGGGGGGACTCAGTCTCAGTTCAAGACAG